ATTTGCCATTTTCTGAATAAATAGTTTGTCCAGAAATGTTTTAGTAGCAGTAGCCAATATTTTATTATTTATTTATTTTACATTGGCCGTCACGCAAGAAATCCTAAAAAGTTGGAGAATAACTGATATAGCTAGAACTAATCCAGCATACAATTGATGGTTCTTATAGCTAGAACTAATCAAGCATACCATTGATGGTTCTTATAGATAGAACTAATCCAACATACAATTGATGGTTCTTATAGCTAGAACTAATCCAACATACAATTGATGGTTCTTATAGCTAGAACTAATCCAACATACAATTGATGGTTCTTATAGCTAGAACTAATCCGACATATAATTGATGGTTCTTATAGCTAGAACTAATCCAACATATAATTGATGGTTCTTATAGCTAGAGCTAATCCAACATACAATTGATGGTTCTTATAGCTAGAACTAATCCGACATATAATTGATGGTTCTTATAGCTAGAAATAATCCAGCATACAATTGATGGTTCTTATAGCTAGAACTAATCCGACATATAATTGATGGTTCTTATAGCTAGAGCTAATCCAACATACAATTGATGGTTCTTATAGCTAGAACTAATCCAACATACAATTGATGGTTCTTATAGCTAGATCTAAGCCAGCATACACACTTAGACTTCTGAATTTAGGAGGAAAGGGGACACCGGGTTTGAATCACCCACTCCGGCCCTTCCTACGTCACCGGCACTACCCACCCGATCATCTGAATTGCCCACTCCGCCCCTTCCTCCATCACCTGGCCCGAAAGAAACACCCCAAGCCATAGCATGCAAAAATGCCCAAAGTCCATAGGAGCGGGGAGTTTGGCTTCCCCCATTCAGGAGTGGGGGGAGGTAGTGATAGAGGCCTCTGAACGGAAGGGGAAGTCTAATCAATCAGTCAAGAAATGTGACTTTCGTTGGAGACAACATATGCCGATAAAAAGATAAAGCCTCATACACCCTATTCATCATCTCGAATCACGTATCTAGCACCGTTAAGCATTGCCTGATTTGTTTTTGGAATGAAAATGCACCTCAGTTAATAAATAAATCGCTTGTGTTGGCACATCTCCTTGGAACCAGATACTTCCCCTTCCCTTGGACATAGTGCACTTGTCTTAATAGACAGCATAACCCGGTACTTGATGAGACTAAATAACCGTGGTACTTGGTGAGAAAACATAACCATGGTACTTTTGGCGCATGCCGGAAGTGAAGATCTGTGCGGGCAGGGGTGGCTTAAGGCCTTGCGATGCGCTAAGCACTTAAACGATTTTAGTAACCCCCCACCCCTCCCCCCATATTATTTCTAACTAAATATTCAAATTACCGTACCAAATTAATACACCGTTACGGTCAAAATAAAGCTTTACAATTTAAAAAAAAAAAAAACTTACGCTTAAGATTGCGTATACAATTTATATTTTATTTTTAAAAAAAAAAGTTTTCTTATCATTTTTTTTTTGGTAGCAAAGTCTCAGTAATGTCCGTAACAATCTGTGTAAGATCAGACTTGTATAACAATCTGTGTAAAATCAGACTTGTATAACAATCTGTGTATGATCAGACTTGTATGATAATCTGTGTATGATCAGACTTGTATAACAGTCTGTGTACGATCAGGCCTGTATAACAATCTGTGTATGATCAGACTAGTATAACAATCTGTGTATGATCAGACTTGTATAGCAGTCTGTGTATGATCAGACTTGTATGATAATCTGTGTATGATCAGACTTGTATAACAATCTGTGTATGATCAGACTTGTATAACAATCTGTGTATGATCAGACCTGTATAACAATCTGTGTATGATCAGACTTGTATAACAGTCTGTGCATGATCAGACTTGTATGATAATCTGTGAATGATCAGACTTATATGATAATCTGTGAATGATCAGACTTGTATGATAATCTGTGAATGATCAGACTTGTATGATAATCTGTGTATGATCAGACTTGTATGATAATCTGTGAATGATCAGACTTGTATGATAATCTGTGAATGATCAGACTTGTATCTGTGAATGATCAGACTTGTGATAGCAAGAAATCAGAAACTACAAAGCGATAAGATTTCCCGCTTTGTTTCCCTCCACTAGTCTCAAAGAATTTGTGTGTGCGTGCGTGCGTGTGAGCGGGTGTGGGGTGGGGGTGTGGGTGTGGTAATAAAGGACTATAACCAGTGGCGTAGCTTGGGTCGTTGTCTCCCGGTGTGGTAAACTCATGGTGTCAATTTTTTCCGACCTAGTTAGTGGGTCGTCCATAATTACGTCAACAATTAAATTTGTACACAATTTTTGCCCCCTTCCACCCCTTGTGAACAACCGTGAAAACGTTCAAAGACTAAATAGTGTTGTTTATGGGAAAATTTGCAGGTTTTATTTAAATTGCTATGTACTGTAGGGCCTCAAGTAATAAGCAACTTAACAAGCCGACCAAGTTTTGGTTTTGCCCCCTCTCCCCCCTGAAAAAACCTTGAAATGACGCCCCTGAAGGGCATAGTCTATAGTAGCTGATTTAACATTTTCATCTTGCGGCACTGATATACCAGACAAGTCAACATCATCCTCATCTAACCATTCAGCACTTATTCAAATAGAACCATTGTCGGTGTGAGCAATAATTGCCATAAGCTTTCTCTATCTCCTTGCAGATACTCGCATTGGTCGAATCCTTTTTTGTTGGGTATCAGGTGGTAATTTCTTATGCGCAAAAGTGCATTGTCCGTGCTGTTGAATCTGGTTTTTCAAAATAGATGTTACAGATTTTGCAAATCCGTTCAAGCAGCGATGTTATTATTGTTACTCACTTTACTTTCCCCGAATTCTCAAAATATTGTATTCCCACTCTATCAATATCATTTATCGTGACTGCACATGCCACTGGAACCTTGTCCTTGTTCCATACCTGCAACAATATAGCAAACGTACCGCCGTATGCATTTGCAACAAACAGAATCTACAGGCGAAGAGAGGCCAACATTTGACTTCTCTTATACTAACAAAGTGTGATAACATTCTGACCAGCCATCTGCAGTGCACAGACAGACACACATTAATAAATCTTATTAAAAGCCTATAAAATTATATGACTATTTACACGCAATGAATTTTTTAAAATAATGTAATAATCAGCCAGTCAGTTTTTAAGATTAAAATTGTAATAGAGAAAATATGATTGTTGACGTCAACTCATCTAACCCCACTCCCCCTTGTCAACAACTGTCAAACATTTCCGAACCCCCTTCCCCCTATTTTGCTGACATAATTAATGGACGCCCCCTAATAGGGTCTCAATTGGTGCGAGGAAAATTTTCCCCAGCTGAATGTCTCAAAAACAAAGGAAATGGTTGTTGATTTAATAGGAGGGGGAAACACCTGATTACAGATCTCAACATAAAAAATCAAAGTGTAGAGAAAGTGGAGGCATACAAGTACTTAGGGGTCAACCATTAAAAATAAGCAAACATGGCACGAGCACAGCCAAGTGCTGTATAAGAAATTCAACGAAAGACTGTTCTACCTCAAAAAAACTGTACAATTTTGGCGTAAACAAGCAAATCATTAACTTATTCTAGAGTGCAACAATTGGAAGCCTACTTAATTTCAGTATTACCTGCTGGTGTGGGAATTCAACGACTGATATTAAACACAGCATAAACCGACTAATCAAGAAAGCTAGGAACATAACACAAACTAAACATCCTTCACTGAAAGAACTATTTGAAGAAAGATGTTTTTGTAAAAGTTAACACATTTTGGATGATACATACCACCCTCTTCATCACAAATACTTAGGATCGGGCCGTTCGAGGCGAATTCTTTCCATCAGGGCGAGGACTGAAAGATATAAACATTCCTTTCTTCCCCAATCTGTAAGAATCTACCGGCGTGCTCCCTTTGAAGTCACACATCTTTATGAGAACTAATAAGTCCCCTATTTGGCTAAGAGAACTCACTGAATGGCTGTTTGAGATAATTTATTATAAATGTCTTGTCTTCAAATTGTATGTGCTCAAAATGTATAATGCAATAAAAACATTTCCATTTATTTGGATCAATAAAATAATCTTATCTTATCCTTTTATGAAATTCGCTTAGACTGAGCAGTGTGTGCTCTGTAAATATGCAATTTTTCAATTTGGTGTCACCCCTGAGATGGTGTCACCCGTTGGGGTCCGCACCCCCGCATCTCTCTAGCTACCCCACTGACTATAACGCACAATTTGTCTAGAATTCCCTACATTAATTGACGGTTGGCAAACCTGCTCTATCTCCAGAAAAAGAAATGTGTAACAAGGAAACAAGGTGTGGAAAACCACGACATAAGGATGCAACGGAACAACAAACGCGTTGATAAGAAGCCTCCGTCAGCGAAAAAATGAGTGAGAAACATAAGCATGTAAAACAAACACAGCTGACATGTCCAAGAGAACAGCAAGAGGAATGCAGTCTAATACTAACTGGATATTTCCCTTACCGACGATGGAGTTGATGAAAAGAAAGTCGCCTGCGCCCCTTTCCAAATAGTTGGACACGCAGTAGCGTAGGAAAAAAAGAAAAGGGTGGGGGGGGGGGGGCTGGGGAGGGCAACTTTTTTCTATACAGTGGTGAATGTCAAATGCCGAGTTGTTTGTTGTTTTATTTCATTTACCGTACGCATTATTTGGTTTTTAGTGGGGGATGAATGAATCAGTTTATTGAAAGTCTGATTAAGTGCTCTATTGGAGTGTGCTAACATTCTGACCAGCCATCTGATTAAGTGCTCTATTGGGCCACTCGTATGTAATTTGAAGAGATTTTATTATTATTATTTAATTTGTTTAAAAGTATGATTTCGTTTAAATTGAATTGAATACTGTAAATCACTCTACGCGATGTTTTGTTTCTTTGATTAAATCATTATCCTAAAATAGATAATTAAACTCTGTGTCTTGAAGAGCTGGTGGAAAGTTGTTTACACTTGACAATGACAGCTAAATGAAATAAAAAGTTGTGTACCAGAACTAGGAAGTAGGAAGATCCGGTTACAAAGCCTCGTAAATCCACTTATTCCATTTATAGCGATTGTAGTCGCAAATAAAACACTTACGTCTAAGGCCTAGGCCTTATCTTGAGATAGAATAAAACAAGAACTTAGTTTTAAAAAACGATTACCTCATTCAGTCCCAGTAATCAGTAATCAGTAATGATTGATCAATGAGTCAGTGCTCATGATACAGGAGTCAGTGCTCATGATACAGGTTCAATGATACAATTACAAGTAATTATTAATATAAAAATATTACTTTGATATGGCATAATTAATAAACTAAAAAGTTGTAAAAAGGCTACCACTTTAGACTTTAGTCCATTTATTAATTATTATTATTAATAAAATAAATGCTAGTAACTAGTAATTGTATTTATTAACTGACTAGTCTAATACTAATTGTTAATTATTAACAATTAGTCTAGTATTAGACTAGTCTGACTATTAATTAATTTATACTATGGTAACTACCAAAAAAACAACAACAACCATAGTATAGAATGACATGCTTACATATGATGAATATAATAGATAGACCTTCGAATATAATATTAAGAATTAACATACTATTTTGTTTATTTTATTTATATTCATGATTCATGTAATTTCTCATAGTCAAAACTAAAATTATGCAAAAAATTTTTTTGACAAACAGATTGAAAGTTAAAAGAATTTTTATTTTAAACTAATGGAAGCTCTCTTTAGTAGTACAAGAGCAGCAAGAAAATCCTGTTCTCCTGATGGCTAAATAATAAAAAAGCATCACAGAAATGACAATGGGTTTGTATCATTTTCCTGTTTATTCTCTGCAAATTTATATAGTTATATAGCCTATATACTATATATGTATATTTGATGAAAAATGGTACATTGTAGAACTAATTTGTTCTTTATTAAATATCTCTAGATTTTTTTATGCACCAGTAATTAATTTTCAATAAAAATCATTCTATTTAAATACAATACCAGTAAGTATAAAAATTTGGTTCAATTTACGCTTTACATCTTACCCCGAGTTTCTGTGTATGAATGAACTCACCTTGTTTAATTGTTATAGCTAACTTTTATTTTTTTTATTAATATGCAGATGGAATATTTTTGATTGATCACTGTTTTAAAAAGTATATTTCATAGTGTGGTTACTAATTCAAAACTAGGCTATTTTATTGTGATGTTTAAATAATGCATGTTGACTTTTCTTACATATTTTGGAATTAATTTTTGGTTGAACCTGTAATAAAGAGTTTTAAAGAGTAATTGACGAAACTGTAAGTTGGGTTTCATTAATTAAAAATTATTTTTATTGTTTTTCTTCATTTTTACATTTTCCTCACCACTGTAGCACACATGGTTTAATTGAGGGAAGGTGTCGACCGCAGATCATTTGACACTGCTTGCCTCATATCTAAAGGAACATATAATAAAGTTGCTAAATACGCCACAAACAAAAAGTATAGCTTATTTTTTTGTTTGAAATTTAAACTATTCTCTAAATGTTTTATTCTACTGTAACACACAGTCTCTATTTTCCCTCCCTATTATTACCGGTGTGTTGGTTACTAAATTTTTTACATCTGTTATGATGGCAACAAAGTTGAAAGCCATGTTAAAAAAAGTAGTAACTAATGTGGGGCAAAGTGCTGAGCCATATAGTGCAAATTTACCAAAAATTGATCTTAAAATCTGGAATCTCAATTTTTTTAACGTGGAGCTGATTTATTTTGATGGGAAATAATAATTGATACATTTCTTTAATATGAGCTGGACACTATCTGTTACTGTGGAAAATTTTATTTCAATATCTTCATTAATGGAATAGTTATGCAATTTCTTTATATTTATTTTTTAGTATAGATTTTACCAAATGTCAAGACTAACCACACCATCTGATTAGATTAATTTAAGAACAATTTAAAAATTAATTAAAAGTTTATCACTCCTATCTTTTTCAATGTTGTTTTGTTAGAGTCTTCTCATAATTTGATCACTGCACCATTTTCTGGAACCAGCTCCCCTTCCATATACGTCATAGTGAAACCTCGTCCATTTTCAAAAAGTCCCTTAAAACTCATCTGTTTAGGTCCGCCTATGACCTGTGATGCACTCTCCTTGCCCTACCTAATTTTCTGTTTCGGTTTAATCCTGAAGTGTCAAAGTGTCCTCTTTTTATAGCCATTTTCATTGTTTCTATAGAATATTAGTTACTATCCTAGTGTCTCATTTGTATTTAATTAGTTTACATGTTTTAATAATTGTAAAGCGCTTAGAGCTTTATGATAAGCGCTATATAAAAATGCCTAAATAAATAAATAAAATAAATAAAAAACAAGAAAGTTACAAACTTAATTTTAAAGAAAGATTATAGGCCTAATAATAATTCTGCATCACATGGCTTAAATAAGGTCGTTAAAAAAAAATCAAGCTTGTCTTCTCTAAGTGGTAGAAAGATAATCTTTGGTGTCTTTGGAAAGCTAAATGCCAACCCTTTCAACAGTATGTTTTTGTGCATGTTAGATGCGTTTGAAAATTTTCAGCTTCTTCAGTTGGTTGCAGCGTCCTATAAACTTACATGCCGTTTTTGTCTTAATTATTGGCTTACATTTAAGATGTAGGCACACTTTTCCTTGGAACCGGAAAGTCATGCCACACCTCTGAAAATATTAAGATAGCTTCTTAATGCCCATAAGATGATATAATTATTATTTTAGAAGTTTTGATTTCTTGTGAGTTTTATCAGAATAAGTATTTCTTTGCAGATCTGACTTCAAAAAGCGAGCTTTTCCAGCTTATAGAAGAGTTAAAACAGGACAATGTCATCAAACCTCATCGTTATTTCCTGAAAGTATTAAAAAGCTCTTTTACTGGTGAAGAGTTTTTGGACTGGGCTAAGCAAAAGAAAAATATAGGTAGAAATTATTACTCATTTTTAGCAAGGTATTTAACTCATTTTTAGTTCTGAATCTAAAAATTCAAAACATTATTATCACCAATATTCAACTATTGTTTTAAAAAATAAACATAGATCACTGGTACCTTAAAATGGGTTGTTAGGGTTGTTCCCTTGGGATTAGTAGTGTTAACTTGAGGCTGGCAGTGGTTTACTTGCTTGGGGTTGGTAGTATTGTTGTCAGTGTTTACTTGATGTTGGTAGTGTTTACTAGAGGGGTTGTTCATTCGGGGTTGTTCACTTAGGGTTAAATGGGTTGTGAGAGTGTTCACTTGGGGTTGGCAATTGGTATGGAAGGAGTAAGTTGGAAGTGGGAGATGGTCCATTGGAATGAAATAAATGGTCCTTGGGAATGAAATAAATGGTCCTTGGGAATGAAATAAATGGTCTATTGGAATGTGTGAGTTGGTCTAATGGAATGTGTGAGTTGATCTATTGGAATGTGTGAGTTGATCTATTGGAATGAAAAAAATGTTTCATTTGAATGTGTGAGTTGGTCTATTGGGATATAAAAGTTGCTTCAAGATTATTGGAAATCGTCAACACATTTCACTCTGAATTGTAAACTACTTTCACTGGGCTCATAGTGAATTTGAGGAATTCAAACTTCTTTGATCTTTGATTCTCTGCCTTTATTGCTGGCTGCATGCAGATCTAGCTCTTATTGATGGTCTGGTATTTCTGCACATAAAAACATATCAGTCCTGTATGTGGTGTGCTACTAAAAATTTGAATAAACTTGTTCATATTCCTCGATATTTTTAGGCTCTTGTCCAGTCTATTCTCTAATCAAAGCATAACACTGGTTATCTATAGATAATAATTTTCTCAATATTTAATTTTAATGCTTTTAATCAAGTCTGAATTAATTATGTCAGTAACGTTCACACTTATCTGACCTATTAGATTTATTTGTTTTGTAAAAGTCATCAATCAACCTTTGACCCCATTTTTTTGAGTGGATATCAAATGAACCCCATAATCTATTGAAGAGGCACAGAATAAAATTAAAAATTTTCTTGTTTCAGATGATAAAAAAGCTCTAGATATTGGAGAAGGTTTGCTAAAACATCAAGTTATAAAGCCCCACAAAGCCCAGGGAGCCACTACATTCAACCCCACACTCCTTTATATTCTAGTAGAGGATGATGAAAGTGACGCTCTTAATGCTGGGAATGTTTCAGAAGATGTCCAGACAACGACAGGTAAACAATGACTTAGGATGATACAAGAGAATCACTTAATCCTGATGGTGTCCACATTTCATGGTAGAATAACAATGTGTCCTGAAATAAGCTGTGTTGGCTCAAATATTGGAGTTGTCGTCAGCATGTGGTTATTTAAATAGATTTCATTAGAAAATAACTTATTTTTTTACTATTGTACAAACAAAGCATAATTGTCTGCAGCACACTAAATATTTTCATAGTAGATGACTGTACAAAGAAACATAACTGACTCTTAAAATGTACACACCTTTTATACTTAAGCTTTGAAGACCCCAACCAATGAACACTCAGTGGACATGCTTTGCTGGAATCACTCAGTGAACATGCTTTGCTGAATTCACTCAGTGGAAATGTTTTGCTGAATTCACTCAGTGGACATGCTTGGCTGAATTCACTCAGTGGACATGCTTTGCTGAATTCACTCAGTGGACATGCTTTGCTGAATTCACTCAGTGGACATGCTTGGCTGAATTCCCTCAGTGGACATGCTTGGCTGAATTCACTCAGTGGACATGCTTCGCTGGATTCACTCAGTGGACATGTTTGGCTGAATTGACTCAGTGGACATGCTTCGATTGATTCACTCAGTGGACATGCTAGGCTGAATTCACTCAGTGGACATGCTTTGGTGAATTCACTCAGTGGACATGCTTTACTGAATTCACTCAGTGGACATGCTTTGCTGAATTCACTTAGTGGACATGCTTGGCTGAATTAACTCAGGGGACATGCTTGGCTGAATTCACCTCATGATTTCAGGAAAAATTCACTCCCATCACAACACAAAATACAAGCCATAAGACGGCTAAACAACAGCAAAGTCTCTGTCAGATGAACTAAATAAATACTTATAGAAAACTAACTAGCATGTTTTACGAAACTGCATGTAAGCTAAATAACACCCAAAGACACACACATCATTGCTAATATATCAGAAACAAATTGAACAAAAATGAATTTGAAGTTATAGGTGAATGAGTTCAGTCTTCTAAAAATAAAATCTGACTCCCTCACTTTGGACTATTTCAGCCTTGTGACAAACATACTCCAACATTAAAACACTACATACAATCATATTCTGAATTTTCTTTAAAATTCTTTGTCTAAGTTTGCAGTAAAATTTGATAACCAAGAAAGGCTAACTTACGATATAAGATGAAGTTGAGTACAACAAAGGTTGGTCTTACATTTCAGCTAATCAAGTCAGTGAGCAGATGAGGAAGTCGATTCTCAAACTGTATGGACGCTTTTTATCCGAGGATGGAAGGGTGAGTGTGGCAGGTGGTGGTGGGCAACCCAAAAGAGTGCCCCCCAGTGAGCTTCAATGTTGCCCCTAAATTACCCCCGCAGTTTGTTTGCCCACAATTTACCCTTTGGTCAGTGTTAGGACCTTTTCTATCCACACTTGAGAGCAACAACACAGTCACACTTGGTCCACACTTAAGTACAACACAGCAACAAATGTTCCACACTTAAGAGCAACAACAACATTATGGATCTTTACCATAACAGATCTTTATTGACATTATCCTATCACAACATGTGGTCGTTCACAAAAAGTTCTCTATCAACATCTCACTGCACCTGACACTTATATTAAGACCACTCTTGCCTCACTGACTGATGAGGACTTGCCTCTTTCCTCACTGCAACAATAACTCAACATAATGACGAAACTGAACTCCCTGAAATGACCTTGCATAACTTGACCAATCACAGCTCGCTCTCACCAACTCATACATACACAAACAAAAACAGTCAGCCCCACTTTTTGCCCCATATTTGCCCTACCATTTGCCCCACTATTTGCCCTGTTGTTTGCCTCCATTGCTCTGCTGTTTGCCCTATGGTTCACCCCAAAATCGCCCTGCTGTTTGCCCCACAGTTTCCCTGCTGTTGCCTCACAGTTGCCCTGCTGCCTTGCCCCCTGTTTGCCCCACAATTGCCGTGCTGTTGCCCCACAGTTGGCTTGCCATTTGTTCCACAATTTGCCTTGGGTCAGCCTTACTGTTTGCTCCACAGTTGCCCTGCTGTTTTCTCCACAGTTGCCCTGCTGTTTGCCCCACAGTTGCCCTGCTTTTTGCCCCACAGTTGCCCTACTGCCTTGCCCTGCTGTTTGCCTCACAATTGCCCTGCTGTTTGCCCCTCAGTTACCCTGCCATTTGCCCCACAGTTGCCCTGCTATTTGTCCCACAATTTGCCTTGGGTCAGCCTGTTTGCCCCACAGTTGCCCTGCTGTTTGCCCCACAGTTGCCCTGCTGTTTGCCCAACCTTATGTCTTATGGTTTGCCCCACTGTTTGCCCTAGTTAGTCCCACTATTCCCCTCTCCCCCATTAAACCTGTTTTCCCTGAATGGTCTCAAACCTTTAGTAAATTGTGTGTGTGGTTCGTTATCATAAGGGTTCTCTTTTTCATATAAATCATTTTGGTCCCTGAGACATATTTATTTAATTGTACTACTGCTGTCTTTTTCTGAGGTTATTATTGTCTAACATACTAAAATGTTCCATTTGGGTTTAACATTTTACAGTAATCTTTAGATATTTATATGTGTGTTTCAGTCAGTTGACTATGAAGGAATGAAAAAGAGCGAAGATTTCAAAGCATACGTGAACCTGACCAAAGTACTGAAAATAGTGGATATTCAAACAAGTTCAAGAGAGGAAAAGCTGGCTTTCTTCATCAACGTTTACAACGCTTTGGTGATCCATGCCAATATTGTTAGGGGACCCCCAAACAATATGTGGAAACGTTATAAAGTAGGTCTTATCATTAAGACAGGTGTTTCCCCAATCTGGGCATCCCACCCTTTGGATTGGTCATCGTCATTTGTGTTAAGATAAGATAACATAAGATAGATTCTTGTATTTGTCCTAGTAAATGGAAATATTTGTTTGATTACATTGTACTGTGCATATTCATTTTCAGAACATAGATAGATATTTGTACCAAGACAAGATTTTAAACCACAACAATTTAAACACAGAAAATCTATAGTATTTTTTAAGTACAAAAAAACGATGGACATATACCATTAAACTTGACTCTCTTAATGACAATGTTGACTTCAAGAGTGATTCTTTAGATTTTATAGCTGCCTTCGGAGAAGAATGCTGTACAATGCTGATAGACTGGGGGAGCATGCTGTACAATTTTGACAGGCTGGAGGGAGCATGTTGTACAATGCTGACAGACTGGGGGGAGCATGCTGTACAATTTTGACAGGCTGGGGGAGCATTCTGTTCAATTCTGACAGGCTTGGGAGAGCATGAGCATGATGTACAATGATGACAGACTGGGGGGAGCATGCAGTACAATAGTGACAGGCTTGGGAGAGCATGAGCATGATGTACAATGATGACAGATTGGGGGGAGCATGCTGTACAATTTTGACAGACTGGAGTATGCTGTGCAATTCTGATCGACTGGGTGAGCATGCTTGACATTTCTGACAGGGGGGTGGGAGGGGGGTTGCATGCTGGATAATTCTGACAGACTGGGGAATAAGTTAATGTTTTTATCTTTCAGTGCTAGCTGCTTATGGTACAATCAGCAAAGCAAGTAGGCTTGTAAAGCATTTGCCATCTTTTATGTTAAAGATCAGTTCATTAGTGGTGTGCTGTAGTTTATTTGATGTTCATATGTGGAGTGTTGTAGTTTGTTTGATGTTCATGAGTGGTGTGCTTTAGTTTATTTGATGTTCATGAGTGGTGTGCTTTAGTTTATTTGATGTTCATTTTTTTTACCAACATCAAATACTGGGACAATAGGTTTATTATTTTCTCCAGAACACCAAATACTGAGGCTATAGTAAAGACATTATTTTAAAGAACACCAAACACCAGTACAATAAATTTTGGTTTTTTATATTTTTTTTACCAACATCAAATACTGGGCCAATAGGTTTATTATTTTCTCCAGAACACCAAATACTGAGGCTATAGGTTCAATATTATTTTCCAGAACACCAAATACTGTGATAATAGGTTTATTATTATTTTCCATAATACCAAATACTTGGACAATAGGTTTCTTATTATTTTCCAGAACACCAAATACATGTACAACAGATTTGTGCTATGCTAAACTTTCTTTGCTTAATTGAAGTGTATCTACACTGTAAATTTGGAAAAATACACACATATAACAGGTTTTTGAACTTTTTATTTTGTATGTTGATCTCTTTTAAAACAATGGGAAATCTTGAAAACTTGTTGATGCAACAAACAGCCAACTAAAAAAAATGCTAAAGTTTGGCACTTTGCACAGAGCAAAATGAATTTTCATAAACTATTTATCACTTCTTTTGCCAAAGCAAATTAGAAGATAGAGCTTACAGCTAGTTTTTAAATATATTATCGGAGGACATATTTCATTGAGGCTATTGCAGTTGTTGTCGCCATATTGAAAAGGGGGCCAATTAGTATGATTTTAAGCACAAATTTGAACACAAATATACCTAATTGATAGTTTGGTAAAATTTCAAGTTTAAGCTACAGAACAACCTTTAAAGTTACAACCACAAAAACAAAATCCTAAGTACGTCTACCAGTGATGTCTGTTGAATGTCACTAAGTTAAAAAACAGCCAACCCTCGTGTTCAGATAGATTAAAAAAAAAAAATCACACAATCTAATTGGGTTGTCTTGTTTATCTTAATATGGGACAATGTAATTAGTTGGCTTGATGAGTGGAAACTCTGTGAAACACATAATAGTTTATCACTTAAACAAAAAATGAGTTCTACATTTCTATTATATTTGTTTCAGTTTTTCAACAACACCAAGTACATTATAAGTGGGAAGACATTTTCTTTACAAGATATAGAAAATGGAGTCCTACGAGCCAACAGGAAAGGTGTAGGTAAGAAACATTTCTCGCGAATGGGTGTGTTAGGTAAGAAACATTTTATCACATATTGGGTGGTCGAGCGGTCTAAACTGTCTCAAACAAAATAGCTGGTTGTCTGGAGTTCACACCTCACCAAAGCCAACCTGCCAAGCACCCCGGGTGAATGGGACTCATTAGCCTTGGACGGCAACCCATCTAAGAGAAGGCAAACTCTGAATTTAAACCAGGAGCCAGAATGATCAACAAATCGATCAGAATGATGGTGAATTAAAGGATCGTGTATAGAAGGATGGTGAATTAAAGGATGGTGAATTAAAGGATGGTGTATAGAAGGATGGTGAATTAAAGGATGGTGAATTAAAGGATGGTGTTTAGAAGGATGGTGAATTAAAGGATGGTGTATAGAAGGATGGTGAATTAAAGGATCGTGTGTAAAAGGATGGTGAATTAAAGGATGGTGTGTAGAAGGATGGTGAATTAAAGGATGGTGTGTAAAAGGATGGTGAATTAAAGGATGGTGTGTAGAAGGATGGTAAATTAAAGGATGGTGTATAGAAGGGTGGTGAATTAAAGGATGGTGTGTAGAAGGATGGTGAATTAAAGGATGGTGAATTAAAGGATGGTGTATAGAAGGATGGTGAATTAAAGGATGGTGTATAGAAGGATGGTGAATTAAAGGATGGTGTATAGAAGGATGGTGAATTAAAGGATGGTGTATAGAAGGATGGTGAATTAAAGGATGGTGTTTAGAACGATGGTGAATTAAAGGATGGTGTGTAGAAGGATGGTGAATTAAAGGATGGTGTGTAGAAGGATGGTCAATTAAAGGATGGTATGTAGAAGGATGGTGACGATCAATGAAAAAATCCAATCTTATTTCAGGCCAGTTTCTGCTTCCATTTGGCAAAGATGATCCCAGGCTGACAATGGCGCTCGACAGACATGAGCCACTTATTCATTTTGCTTTGGTCTGTGGAGCCAAGAGTTGTCCCCCAATCAAAATGTATACAGCACAAGTAAGCATAGATTTATTTTATTGTTGTATATACCCTCGGTATATACCCTAGGTTGATCAGTTATTGTATATAGCACAGGTTGATCTTATTGTTGTATGTATTATGTACAGTTGCATATGTTGATCCTATTGTTTTATGTAGCTTAGTTTGATCCTATTGTTGTATGTAGCTTAGGTTGATCCTATTGTTGTATATAGCTTATGTTGATCCTATTGTTGTATGTAGCTTAGGTTGATCCTGTTGTTTCATGTAGCTTAGGTTGATCCTATTGTTGTATGTAGCTTAGGTTGATCGTATTGTTGTATGTAGCTTAGGTTGATCCTATTGTTGTATGTAGCTTAGGTTGATCCTATTGTTTTATATAGCTTAGTTTGATCCTATTGTTTCATGTAGCTTAGGTTGATCCTATTGTTGGATGTAGCTTAGGTTGATCCTATTGTTTTATATAGCTTAGTTTGATCCTATTGTTTCATGTAGCTTAGGTTGATCCTATTGTTGTATGTAGCTTAGGTTGATCCTATTGGTTTATATAGCTTTAGGTTGATCCTATTGTTGTATGTAGCTTAGGTTGATCCTATTGTTTTAAGTAGCTTAGGTTGATCCTATTGTTTTATATAGGTTAGGTTGATCCCATTGTTTTATATAGGTTAGGTTGATCCTATTTTTGTATGTCGCTAAGGTTGATCCTATTGTTGTATATACCTTAGGTTGTTCCCATTGTTTTATATAGCTTAGGTTGATCCTATTGTTGTATGTAGCTTAGGTTGATCCTATTGTTGTATGTAGCTTAGGTTGATCCTATTGTTGTATATAGCTTAGTTTGATCCAATTGCTATATGCTATTATAATTATTATTATTCCTTTACACAAGAAGATGACCAAGGCAATTTTCGACTTGAGTAGTTGTTCTTGACTTTCTTGTGTTTAATGTGAATGAGAGTTGCTCAATTCATCAGCCTTACTCTCTGGTTCTTGCCTGTTTGATCCAAGGGTCAAACTGAGTGAAGAGGACTTGGAATAGATGCAGTAGATGACCAATAATGCGTTTTCTTGTGTGTTTCACTGTGCGCTTTATGTGTTCAGTGTTATATTCTCAAGCGTGGCCTCATGTTCATTGTTTCATACTGCCCATGGGACTCCATCTCCAGGTTTGATTTTAGAGTTTGCCTTCTCTTAGATGAGTAGCCTTTCAAGGTTAACAGGTCTCATCCACTTATTATGTTATGTTGGATTTTCTCTCTGCCTTTTTGCATTCCCTCTCTGTCTTGTTGGATTAGGACCAAATCTTGTTGGATTTCCTCTCTGTCTTGTAGAATTTCCTCTCTGTCTTGTTGGATTTCCTCTCTGTCTTGTTGGATGTCTTCTATGTCTTGTTGGATTTCCTCTGTGTCTTGTTGGATTTCCTCTTTGTCTTGTTGGATTTCCTCTCTGTCTTGTTGGATTATTTTATTTTTGTTAGATTGTTTATATTTGTTCATACTTCTGTTCACCTGGATGGAGTCGGCACCTGTAATACTTTGAAATCTTGTATTTGCCTATAATTATTTTTTTAATAATTGTTAATATTAATTCTAACCAGCTAAAGTTTGTGATGAAATATTGAAGCAATCACAATGGCATCAAATGACTTGTACATTTTTAACTTAACTTACAGAATATATACAAGGAGCTTCAGATGGCCGTCCGTGCATTTTTAGATGGTGATGATGGGTGTGAAGTAGATGTCAAATCTCACACAATTCACCTGTCATCTATTTTTAAGTGGTACCGGGAAGATTTTGGCAAAAACAAGGAAGAGGTAAGGATGTCAAGCTAGAGATGATTAGATGTGAAGCTAGTGATGTTTAGATGTGAAGCTAGAGATGTTAAGATGTGAAGCTAGAGATGTTTAGATGTGAAGCTAGAGATGTTTAGATGTGAACCTAGAGATGATTAGATGTGAAGCTAGAGATGTTTAGATGTGAAGCTAGAGATGTTAAGATGTGAAGCTAGAGATGTTAAGATGTGAAGCTAGAGATGTTTAGATGTGAACCTAGAGATGATTAGATGTGAAGCTAGAGATGTTTAGATGTGAAGCTAGAGATGTTAAGATGTGAAGCTAGAGATGTTAAGATGTGAAGCTAGAGATGTTTAGATGTGAAGCTAGAGATGTTTAGATGTGAAGCTAGAGATGTTTAGATGTGAAGCTAGAGATGTTTAGATGTGAAGCTAGAGATGTTTAAATGTCAAGCTAGAGATGTTTAGATGTGAAGCTAGAAATGTTTAAATGTCAAGCTAGAGATGTTGAGATGTGAAGCTAGAGATGTTTAGATGTGAAGCTAGAGATGTTTAAATGTCAAGCTAGAGATGTTTAGATGTGAAGCTAGAGATGTTTAGATGTAAAGCTAGAGAGGTTTAGATGTGAAGCTAGAGATTTAGATATCAAGCTAGAGATGTTTAGGTGTCAAGTTAGAGATTTTTACATCTTAAAAATAAACAAATCAAATACTTTTTCCCCTGGAGATATGAACCAATTAAAAGCACTTCTATATTAATTTAAAAATTGCAGTGAAAAGTTAACAATATTCTAATGAACAGTTAACAATGTTGTAATGAACAGTTAACAATGTATTTACAATGAACAGTTAATATTGTTGTTTCAATAAACCGTTAGCATTGTTGTTACCATACGATTAACAGTTAACAATGTTGTAATGAACAGTCCACATTGTGTTGTTACAATGAACATTTAACATCGTTGCTCTATTATGAAATATAAGGAACAGTTAACATTGTTGTTACTTTTTTAATTGGAATTTTGAACATATTTTTTAGTGCTCCTACATGTTTTAATTTTCCATATTGAGATTTGTTTTAAAGTGCATTAGAATTTACTCCGATGTGAATTAGGTTAAATAAGTAGTGAGCAATAAACATTTTCGATCTTTCATTGCTAAATTTTATTGCTAATCATGTATTTAATATTTCTATCTTCAGTTGGTAGAATTTGTGGCTAGTCATATGGCAGAAGGACAAAAGCTGAAAGATCTCAAAGCTGTCATGGAAACTAAGAATTTCAAAATATCTTTCCTCAAATATGATTGGTCACTCAACTCCAAGGCTTAAGATAAAATATGTCACTCAATGCAAAGCTTGGAATTTGATTTGTCACTCAACTCAAACATCTATCTGACCCACAAATCATTGGGCGTTAAAGCTTGAATGAAGCTGAAATTTTCGGATTTTTTTCCTTAAAACTAACATTTTAGGTTTCAAATGTTAACTTTAGGACTTAGATGTTAACTTTTAGGACTCAGATGTTAACGTATAGGACTCGGATGTAACTTGTAGGACTCAGATGTCGCCATGCTAAACAAATTATTCTAATTAATTTGAATTATTTTGTCATGAAAGTGATTTTTGTATTCATCACTCATGGTACTGTAGCGATAATTACGATAGAGGAGCTAGCACTAGCACTAGTAGCAGTTTATGATCTAATAGAGGAAGTAGTGGAAATAAAGTACTGATGAATTTTATAGGCATTATAGAAAGAAATATGTAGGTCATCAATTTTTAAATTTCAATAAAACCAATTAGCTTTATGTTTATCTAAACTGACAGACTAAAGTTTTTTGTGTCTGATAAACATATTATTATTTAGATGCTAAAAAGGAAACAGCATTCAGTAGCACAGTCATATTATTTCACTTAGCTAACAGAATTCCAACATTCATACCATATTATTCCTTGTCCAATTACCTTATGATTCTTTGTCCAATTTACCATATTAATCCTTGTCCAATTTACCATATAATTCCTTGTACAAATTACCATATGATTCCTTTTCCAACTAACCATTTTATTCTTTGTCCAATTTGCCACATCATTCCTTTTCCAATTTACTATATAATTCCTTATCCAATTTAACATATGATTCTTTGTCCGATTTATCATATGATTCCTTATCTAATTTACCATATGATTCCTTGTCCAATTTACCATATTATTCCTTGTCCAATTTACCGTATGATTCTTTGTCGTCCAATTTACCATAAGATTCATAGGGCAATCTACTCTTAGAATACTTTCATGGGTCTCTGGTTTCATTTTCTATTAGCTTGAGGTATTTTAGTGATTCAAATCAAAGTTACTTAAACAGAGTTGACACAACAGCACGCTTGCATTTGACAGTTTGTGGGTTAAGATATGCCTGTTCACTAAACTTTCTGGTCTGCCATATGGATGGTCAATCAGCTTAAAGGTCTGTGATAAGAATGTTCAATTAGATTGATGGTCTGTGATATAATTGTGTCTTCTCCCATGACTTTACACACTTGCTGTGGATATCATAATGAAAATAACAATGGCCACCACATCAGTACCAACTAATGGAATGGTCGGCATCACATGACAGACCTGGATCTGGACAATGAACTTATAGATGAAAAGCCAGACATGCAGAAATGATAGATAAAAATATGTTTTGGTAAAATGAAAATCTCCAAAGAAGCTATTTAGAATCTCAAAAGAAGCTATTTAGAATCTCCAAAGATGCTATTGAGAATTTCAAAGATGATATTTACAATATCTAGCAAGTGATATTTTCTCTTCTTTGAAAAGTTTGAGTTTATATTTTTAAAGAGCTATGCTTTCAAAGGGACACAATGTAGTAAAAAGGACTATTCAGGTATCTTAATATTTCTTATTTCCCCTGATAAGGCTTTGTTTATGACCAAGGCTTTGTTACCTGACAATGCTATGTCCCTCAGACAATGCTGTGTGCCCTGACTATGCCATGTTCATTGACAGCTTTACGTTACCTGACGATTTTTTTTATTAATTCTTGTATTCATCAAGTTCAAATGTCTATTCTGTCTTAGCCAAACCCAAACAGCACAACTTACATTTCCGGTAACATTTACGGACCTGCGTATCTAATCCCATCTACTGTGTGGGTTATCCAACACCATCCATTGAGTAGGTTATCAACTCATTAATTGAGTTTTGAGGGTATTATATTCCAGGATGAAGTATTAAGAGCATATTTAAAATATCAACAAAACAAAGGATTATTTTTTGTCATATGCTAAATGACCAAATCAACATTACACACTTATGTTGTACGAACATTAGAAACTGCTAATGCTGCATCCACATTTAAACATTTCTAATGCTGTACAATAATCTCTACAACCACCTTACTTGCATACATTTTCAATAAAATAATCTCTACAACCGCTTTATTTGCATACATGTTCAGTAAAATAATCTCTACAAACGCCTCACTTGCATACATGTTCAATAAAATAACCTCTACAACCACCTTACTTGCATACATGTTCAGTAAAATAATCTCTACAACCACCTTACTTGCATACGTGTTCAGTAAAATAATCTCTACAACCACCTTACTGGCATACATGTTCAGTAAAATAATCTCTACAACCGCTTTACTTGCATACATGTTCAGTAAAATAATCTCTACAAACGACTCACTTGCATACATGTTCAGTAAAATAATCTCTACAACCACCTTACTTGCATACATGTTCAGTAAAATAATCTCTACAACCACCTTACTTGCATACATTTGCAGCTTGATTATATTCAAGATGTACTACCCCATTCCGAGAAATGAAACGGGCTCAAAACTCTATTCTCTGAAATCAAAATCACAGCCCACAATTTAAGAAATATTCCAAACAACAAACCTGGTTGCAATCACAAAGAATGTTGAGCATGATCAAGGTTTCTAGACAACATTGAACTTTCATTCCACACAGGACGTTCAGATAATACGACTTGAGGATGGTATCCCATTTCATTATTTTATCATCTGCTTTAAAATTCACCTTGACAGCATTCCCTTCAAGCTGGTCAGGTGCTATTATAATTAAGGAATGACGCTACGCTAGAATTTAACGTCAGCGAAGTCAAGGAATGATAAGTGGCTGAGTTCGTGTTGCTCCATCTGACTTTGAAGTAAATATTGAACATTTATTGAACATTTAAGTATAGTAAAATTAACTGGAAAGCTCATATTATTCTTATAATGTTTTTAATTCTAGTGCGCCCCGAAATTTTTGTGCGGGTCCGGATGTGCAGTGGGAGATCAAAGGTTGCAGGGAAATGCTTTAGTGTTTGGTTTAGAGAGTCGAAAATTGTGTGACCGATGTTAGGTGAATTGGGGAGCTAGATCGTTATAATAGTAACTTTGCTGACAAGTATTTTTCTGCAAAGCAAAAATAATATAACGAAATCACTGCTACCCAATAGATGTGTCATGGAATGAGAATTCCCAAACATAACAGTAATGAAATAACTGCTACCCAATAAATTTGTCATGAAATCAAAGATGCCTAATAAATTTGTCATGAAACTACTGATGAAACTAAAATGCTCATGAAATTACTGCTACCCAGTGACCCACACGCAATCTACGACCATCTGCCTTAACATAAACCAATTGACATGTCTTCAAACTGAGGTTGGAACCAAAGGGGAGTGGGAAGGGTCAGGCGGAAGTCCTGTGTAGCCTCGGGTGTAAAACCAAAATAGTGAGTTGTATATTTATGCACCTGTGTGTCGTGTGCACGTGTGTCACTGCCACTGGCGGGAAAACACTGGAGTGCTACAGTGCAATAATTTACTTTTGAAACTTCTCTCACTGACTGGGAGGTCTCGATGACTGTGGGGTGGGGGTTTGTCTTTCAGTGACTTAGGAGGGTCTCTCGATGACCGTTTGGGGGGGGGGGAGGCTCACGATGCCTTGAATTTTTAAAAATATCTTTCAGTTTGAACTTAGGCTTTTCAATAATTTTGTTCCTCGCAGACTTTCCTTCGAAGTATATTCAGAACTTAACATTAGATAACTTTATATTTTAATTGCTTTATTTCTTTTGTTGCGTCCTTTTCTCAGGTTTTGCCATTACTTGTTTCACATACTCTGTTTCACATACCCTGCTTCACATACTCTGTTTCACATACCCTGTTTCACATTCCCTGTTTCACAGACTTCCTTGTAAATTTTTAAAAGTGAGTTGTTAGCTGAGTTTTCAAATGTTAAAGGGGGCCTCTAAAAAGTGGCAGGGGGGCTTCGAAAAAAAGTAAATGCCGGTGGCCTTAAAACGTCACTTGATTGATCCACCCCAGGAAGACTTTTACTTCTTATAAGTTAAGAAATGTTTGTGCCACTGAAACCCTTATTTTAGATAAGTCTACTTTTAAACTGCGTACGTTTTTCTGCAAAAAGTCCTGTATTAAAAGTTTATCTTCAATTAGTATTTAATTCCTGTAGCGCCAGCGCATTCGATCTTTCCACTAGCAACATTTTTTCCTTGTTTTGAATCTTATTTTTACGTTTCAATTTGTTTTTTAAATTTTTTTTTTACAAGTTAGAATATGTCAATGCATGACTCATTTGTTTTCTCTTATCAAGCTTCATTCATGAATCCAATTTTTTGGTCTCTCATCTCTCCGTACTTTGATGATAACCATCATATGAAAAATAATTCGCGTGAGATATTTCCCTTACGCATTTCTCTTCCCCCGCTTCCATAAATTGATTTGTGTGGAAATTTAACATTATCTTTCATCACCTCATTTGCCTTTAGGTTGGTGCCACACTGTAGGTACACTGCACATACCGGGTTAAAGACTCTTGGCATGTCGGATTTGGTCTGCGGGCGGCAACTTTAGGCCCTCTGGTAGAGTTATCTTAACAGTAAGCCTACTGTATGATTTAGTTAGAGCAATTTTAACTGTAAGCTTAATGCAGTGGCGTAGGAAGGGTGGGTGGGGGGTGGGGGTGGCGAGGCGGTCCACCCAGGGAGGGGGGCACCTGTTCTTGAAATGGAGGGACGTCATTTTCGTCCAACCGCAGCAGAGTTTTTTGTTCGAGGACGAAGGCGAAACAAATCATCACCCCCTCGCACTAAACAAAGTTGCGCCTCTTAATGTATTCTTGACACTAGCAAATTTAACAAGTTACACGGATTCAAATATAGAGCTCTCTAGTTTTATTGGTTCAACCGTCCAGTTCTCTAGTTTAATTGGTTCAACCGTCCAGTTCTCTAGTTTAATTGGTTCAACCGTCCAGTTCTCTAGTTTAATTGGTTCAACCGTCCAGTTCTCTAGTTTAATTGGTTCAACCGTCCAGTTCTCTAGTTTAATTGGTTCAACCGTCCAGTTCTCTAGTTTAATTGGTTCAACCGTCCAGTTCTCTAGTTTAATTGGTTCAACCGTCCAGTTCTCTAGTTTTATTGGTTCAACCGTCCAGTTCTTAGTTTAATAGGTTCGTTCGTCCAGTTCTCTAGTTGAATTGGTTCAACTGTCCAGTTCTCTAGATTAATTGATTCAATCGCCCAGGTCTCTAGATTAATTGATTCAATCGCCCAGGTCTCTAGATTAATTGATTCAATCGCCCAGGTCTCTAGATTAATTGATTCAATCGCCCAGGTCTCTAGATTAATTGATTCAATCGCCCAGGTCTCTAGATTCAAATTACAAATATGAAAAAAAATATTTGATTTAGATACTATCATTTATCACTTAATCTCACATATTGTGTTTTAAATATCTTAATTAGTCTTTCCAAACTAAGTTAAAGAAGTCAAGATAAATTCACTTCGATTCAATGTTTACTTTATTACAACTTTTCATAGTGACATCTCATGCATGTAATTTCAGGTAATATTTGAACATAATTTATTGACACCAAGTGCACTTAAATTGGAAAAAAATCCACTTCAATAATTTAACAGTGTTGACGTTTTTATAGTCTTAAAAGAAGATTACATCCAGTCAATTATTCCATGTCTAAGAATCGTCTACAATGGCACGATCTGTACAAATATTCAGGTCGGGCCAAAGACGCGAGATGTTGTGCAGACGACCCGATAAAAGTACACATAATATTATTTTAACATTGGAAACTTGCAAAACATACATTGTTGTCAGCTTACCTAACTGTTCTGACCCCTGACGTCACCATTTGAAAAACATCCGGTCGCCATAATTGATATGTATTTAAAAAACTTGCATTTAAACACTTTTTTAAAAAAACGATAAGAAGCATAAGACAAATAACTGCAGATAACTGCAGCTTAAACAAAAGGGTGCTGTGTGACTGATGACTGCATCTAAACATTGGGTGCTGTGTGACTGATGACTGCATCTAAAACAATTGGGTGTTGTGTGACTGATGACTGCATCTAAAACAATGGGGTGCTGTGTGACTGATGACTGCATCTAGAACAATGGGCTGCTGTGTGACTGATGACTGCATTTAAAACAATTGGGTGTTGTGTGACTGATGACTGCAACTAAAACAATGGGGTGCTGTGTGTCTAATGAATGCATCTAAAACAATGTGGTGCTGTATGACTGATGACTGCATCTAAAACAATGGGTGCTGTGTGACTGATTACTGCAATTAAACAAATGGGGTGCTGTGTGTCTGATGACTGCATCTAAAACAATGGGGTGCTGTGTGACTGATTACTGCAATTAAACAAATGGGGTGCTGTGTGACTGATGACTGCATCTAAAACAATGGGGTGCTGTGTGACTGATTACTGCAATTAAACAAATGGGGTGCTGTGTGACTGATTACTGCAATTAAACAAATGGGTGCTGTGTGACTGATTACTGCAATTAAACAAATGGGGTGCTGTGTGACTGATTACTGCAATTAAACAAATGGGTGCTGTGTGACTGATTACTGCAATTAAACAAATGGGGTGCTGTGTGACTGATTACTGCAATTAAACAAATGGGTGCTGTGTGACTGATTACTGCAATTAAACAAATGGGGTGCTGTGTGACTGATTACTGCAATTAAACAAATGGGTGCTGTGTGACTGATTACTGCAATTAAACAAATGGGGTGCTGTGTGACTGATTACTGCAATTAAACAAATGGGTGCTGTGTGACTGATTACTGCAATTAAACAAATGGGGTGCTGTGTGACTGATTACTGCAATTAAACAAATGGGGTGCTGTGTGTCTGATGACTGCATCTAAAACAATGGGGTGCTGTGTGTCTGATGACTGCATCTAAAACAATGGGGTGCTGTGTGACTGATGACTGCATCTAAAACAATGGGGTGCTGTGTGTCTGATGACTGCATCTAAAACAATGGGGTGCTGTGTGACTGATGCCTGTACCTAACTAAACATTTGAAGATTGAAAAACAATGGGATGCCGCGTGAATCATAGTAACAGGGAAGTGGGCTTCTGAAATCATCGTAGAGAGGGAAGTGGGCTTCTGAAATCATCGTAAACATGGAAGTGGGCGTCTGAAATCATCGTAGACAGAGAAGTGGGCGTCTGAAAAAATCGTAGACAGGGAAGAGGGCGTCTGAAATCATCGTAGACAGGGAAGTGGGCGTCTGAAATCATCGTAGACAGGGAAGTGGGTGTCTGAAATCATCTGGTCACGACAGAACAACGAGCGCATGAAATGATTTCTTCTTTTTTTCCTCTACATTAAGGGCCCACGATCAATCTATTGATTATTCTGGCTCCTATGTATGTAGAGGGATTTGCAGCCAAAAATATAGTCAATAAGACACACAAATTTCTTAATAAAACAGTTCAGTTCAATTTTAATTAAGAGAAAATATGCAAATATAAGACTTCTAGCCATCCTAGGAACAACACAAAGAAAAACATAAATTGCATGAATTTAAATTAAATTGTACAATATATATATATATATATGTATTGCAGGGGGCTTCGATTCAGTCATCTGATTGACTCCCAGATAGACTGTTGCTCGCCAGCTAGAAAGGTGATCAGTGATGCTCTCCCATTCACCGATTTCTCAGTTGGGTTTCTTAATGTTCCTTTTGCAAGTGTCCATAAATCGCAGCTGTGGCCGTCCAGTAAGTCCTAACAACTGTGGCCGTCCAGTAAGTCTTGGCAATCTTGGCCGTCCAGTAAGTCTTGACAATCTTGGCCGTCCAGTAAGTCTTGACAACTGTGGCCGTCCAGTAAGTCTTGGCAATCTTGGCCGTCCAGTAAGTCCTGACAACTGTGGCTGTCCAGTAAGTCTTAGCAACGTGGCCGTCCAGTAAGTCTTGGCAACTGTGGCCGTCCAGTAAGTCTTGTACGCTTCCTCAACTCTTCATACGACAGGTCCTTTGTAATGCGGTCTTCTTCCGTTCTACTTACATGTTCTAACACCAAATTAGCGTCCGATTTAGGAAGCTTAGCGTCTGATTTAAAAGTTCAGCTTCCGATTGAGGAAGTTTAGCGTCAAAATGTGAATAGATCCATTATTGGTAGGCATGTAGAAAATGAAAAAGAAACCAATGCCATGGCATACTGATCCAAACTTGAGTATACACTCTGTTTTAATATGTCACTATGTGATGAAACAGGTAGTGAAAGAATGATTTGTAACATAAGGTTCACTTGTCTCTGCAGCTAATGGATGTGACACACAATTTGCGTGTCTGTAGAACAAAGGTATGTGACACCAGATTGCCTACCTGTACAATAAAGGTGTGTGACATAAGAAAACCACAAGCAGACTTACGTGCTAATAATGGACTTCGCAAAAGCATTTGACCGGGTGAATCATAGTTTGCTTCTACACAAACTCCAGATATATGGGATTCAAGGCACCACTAAAACATGGATCTCTAGCTTCCTCAGTCACCGACGCCAAGCAGTAGTGGTGGGCGGTACAAGCTCCTCCTTTGTCAATGTGAAGTCAGGGGTCCCCCAGGGATCAGTCCTGGGCCCCTGTTTGTTCCTAGCATACATTAATGACCTACCGGAGAAACTGACATCACAGGCAAGACTGTTTGCAGATGACACAGCAGTGTATAGGACGATCGCCAACAGATCTGACCAGGACCAGCTACAACAGGATCTCAATCTGTTAGCTGAGTGGGAGATGAGCTGGGACATGGAATTTCATCCTGCCAAGTGCCAGACACTATCAATCTCTAGAAGTTGTACTCCTCTACACTACCAATACAAACTGCACGGCCATATTCTTGAGCAAGTTTCCTCCGTAAAGTACCTGGGTGTTACCATTCAAAGAGAGGTCCGCTGGGACGAGCATATTAACAATGTATGTAACCAAGCAAACCAAGCCTTGGGGTTCTTAAGGCGAAATCTAAAGATTGGCAACTCCTGTGTGAAAGAAAGAGCATATAAAGCCTTTATCCGTCCGATTTTAGATTATGCATCTTCAGTCTGGGACCCATTTACCCAGAAGAGCATTGACAGGTTGGAGGCGGTCCAGCGACGAGCAGCACGCTTTGTCCTAAACCGCTACAGGAATACCTCTAGTGTTGGCAGCATGCTAGAAACACTAGGCTGGTCACCATTGGAGAAACGACGACGACAATCCAGGCTCTCCATGATGTACAAGATAAATAATGGGCTGGTCCACTGTTCCAGTATTAAACAGAAACTCGTCCCTCTCCCCCATAGACAGCGACGAGGCCATGACAGGCAATTCAGGCTCATACCAGCAAGAAGCCAGTATAGGAGCTGCTCATTCCTGCCCAAGACAATCAGGGACTGGAACCATCTTTCAAAAGGAACAGTTGAGGCGACAACACTAGACACATTTGTGTCTATTGCCTCAAGCCTTCAAACCCCTAGTGCATAATTTCCTCATCATCACCAGTAACAGAAACATTGCAAATCCCATCTACATGCATAGGAGCCAAAATGATCAATAAATTGATCGTGGGCCCTTAAGATATAGAAGAAGAAGAAGATTTGCCACTTGTCTGGACAACAAAGGCTTGTGACACAAGATTTACTTATCTTGACCGCAACTTTATGTGACACAAAGTTGGCTTGTCTGCGCAACAAAGGTATGTGATACAAGATTTTCCACTTGTCTAGACAACAAAGGTTTGTGACATAAGATTTGCCACTTGTCTGGACAGCAAAGTTATGTTACATAAGATTAGCCACTTGTCTAGACAACAAAGGTATGTGACATAAGATTAGCCACTTGTCTAGACAACAACGGTATGTGACATACGATTAGCCACTTGTCTAGAAACAAAGTTATGTGATATAAGATTAGCCACTTGTCTAGACAACAAAGGTATGTGACATAAGATTTGACACTTGTCTAGACAACACAGGTTTGTGACACAAGATTTGCTTTGCCTGCACAGCAAAGTTGCTGACATCAATAGACTGAGCATGAACACTTGGTTCGAGAGTTTTGGACACAATCGGGGCCCAGTTTGCAGATTAAATTATGACTAACACCCGGTAGTTTTATTACCAATTTTTCAATACTCTTGAATAGAATGTCTGCTGTTTTTTTTTTCTTTTTTTTTTTTGTTAAATCTTCTAGTCCAAAACTATTTTTGACTTGTTAAAGAAATATAAAGAAATGACCCATGCCTAAAATCAATGACGTCACATTCCCCCCCCCCCGCCCCCCGAAGCAATGACGTCACATTGATATTAAATGAAACAAAACGGAAAATGTTCAAATTTTGAATTTTTCTTATGGAAATAAACAATCATATACTATCATACAATATCATACAATATCATACAAAATCATACTCGGTCAAACAAACTGTAAATTCATGATTTGTTGTGAAATTAAACTATTGATAACTTGTATGTTGAAACAATTTTCAAGTTGTATTTAAATATAATGACATATTTTAAATCGTCGGAGCAAGTTAAAATATTGCCCAATATCATAGAATGATTGCCACATGGTATCGTTGATTACTCTTTATCGTCATGTTATAGTTGATTGCCATATGGTATTCTTCATAGTCATAATATCCAATTGTTGATTGTTATATGTTACTCAGGGATAGTTCCTGGGTCTTAAATGGTTACTATTTATTATTATTATTATTCAATGATTATTCAATGATTTTTGAATGATTGTCACGTGGTAATGAATCAATGTCACGTGTTATCGAATAATTGTTACTTAATAAGAGCACTTTTTTGTCCATCTCCCAAAGGTCACATGGCAATGATGTCATCACGTGTGCACTCTCCCCTTACATCACAGATATCTTCTTGTGTATGGTGTTTTGTTCACCACAGTGCATGATAGATGTTCAATCCCTTTGTCAATGGGAGACAACAACGTGACTAGACATCATCGTCCTTTCCGGCTGTGGGGAGTTGCTTCCCATGCTACTGTTGCTGCTGTCGCCATGACTACAGTCTCTCGCGCTGGAGCCCAAGGGTGGACTGTGGTGACTCCCGCCGAACGCGCGTCCGTTGAATGTAAAAGGCCAAGTCTGTGGAATGACAGGATAAAAAAAATGGGTTCATTTAAAGAGTGGAAGCTTCCAAGTGAGGGGGGTTAAGATTATTTCAAATTAGCTCAACATTGATTGCACAGTGTCTGATCTAAAATTAGCCCTACATTGATTGCACATTGCATGATCTAACATTAACTCAACATTTATTGCACATTGCATAATCTAAAATTAGCTCAACATTAATTGCACATTGTGAGATCTAAAATTAGCCCAACATTGATTGAACAGTGCCTGATCTAAAAATAGCTCAACATTCATTGCACAGTGCCTGATCTAAAAATAGCGCAACATTGATTGCACAGTGCCTGATCTAAAATCAGCCCAACATTCATTGCACGGTGCATAAACTAAAATTAGCCCACCATTAATTACACAGTGCATGATGATCTAAAATAAGCTCAACTTTGGTTGCCTGATATAAAATCAGCCCAACATCGACTGCACATTGCATGATCTAAAATTGGCCCAACATCGACTGCACATTGCATGATCTAAAATAAGCCCAACATCGACTGCACATTGCATGATCTAAAATCAGCCCAACATCGACTGCACATTGCATGATCTAAAATAAGCCCAACATCGACTGCACATTGCATGATCTAAAATCAGCCCAACATCGACTGCACATTGCATGATCTGAAATTAGCCCAACATTGATAGCCACATTGAATGATCTAAAATTAGACCCACATTGATAGCACATTGAATAATCTAATATTAGCACAACATTGATAGCACATTGCATGCTCTAAAATTAGCCCAACATAGATAGCCACATTGAATGATCTAAAATTAGCCCAACATTGATAGCAGTTTAAATGATCTAAAATTAGCCCCACATTGATAGCACATTGAATGATCTAAAATTAACCCAACATTGATAGCACATGCGCCTGTGCATGATCTAATTTTCCGTGCTTTGACACGGTCGCCGTTTAATTAATATTGGTTTTAAACATTAAATTTAATGATGATTTAGTCTTGAACAGATGTTTCTAACAAATCAACATAAGTTAGTTACAAAATAAACTAAAGACCTCAGAGAAAAGGAGAGTTCCAAATGATCTCTGTTAGTTGGACTAAAGGTAGCCTAACGTGTCGGACTTATCTAAAATGAGTGTGGGGGGTTGGGGGGAAGGGGCGGTAGTTTCGCTGGTTGGGCGAACACGCACAGATTAGAGCTGAATCAAATTAATTGGCGTCTTAATGTCACGATAAGGAGAAAGGTGTTGGGTGCTTGTGTCCGGGTGCCGAGGGAATAGGTGGGGCATTGATATACACGAGGTTCTGATATACGGGAGGTTCTGATATACGGGAGTTTCTGATATACGGGAGGTTCTGATATACGGGAGGTTCTGATATACAGGAGTTTCTGATATACGGGAGGTTCTGGTATACAGGAGGTTCTGATATACGGGAGGTTCTGATATACGGGAGGTTCTGATATACAGGAGGTTCTGATATACGGGAGGTTCTGATATACACGAGGTTCTGATATACGGGAGGTTCTGATATACGGGAGGTTCTGATATACAGGAGGTTCTGATATACGGGAGGTTCTGATATACGGGAGGTTCTGATATACGGGAGCGAACGGAGATTTATATCGGTGATTTTTTTCCGGTATACAGAGATATTTTGTCCCGTACACTCAGTGATATTTTTCCGGTACAGACAGTGATATTATGTCCCGTATACTCAGTGATATTATGTCCGGTACAGACAGTGATATTTTGTCCGGTACAGACAGTGATATTATGTCCCGTATACTCAGTGATATTATGTCCGGTACAGACAGTGATATTATGTCCGGTACAGACAGTAATATTTAGTCCGGTACAGACAGTGATATTTTGGCCGGTACAGACATTAATATTTAGTCCGGTACAGACAGTGATAGTATGTCCGGTACAGGCAGTAATATTTAGTCCGGTACAGACAGTGATATTATGGCCGGTACAGACAGTAATATTTAGTCCGGTACAGACAGTGATATTATGGCCGGTACAGACAGTGATATTTAGTCCGGTACAGACAGTGATATTATGGCCGGTACAGACAGTAATATTTAGTCCGGTACAGACTATGATATTATGGCCGGTACAGACAGTGATATTTAGTCCGGTACAGACAGTGATATTATGGCCGGTACAGACAGTAATATTTAGTCCGGTACAGACAGTGATATTATGTCCGGTACATACAGTGATATTTTGAACGGTACAGACAGTGATATTTTGTCCGGTGCAGACAGTAATATTTTGTCCGGTGCAGACAGTAATATTTTGTCCGGTGCAGAAGTTGATATTTTATCCGGCGCATACAGTGATATTATGTCCGGTACAGAGAGTAATATTTTGTCCGGTGCAGAAGGTGATATTTTATCCGGCGCAGACAGTGATGTTTGGTCCGGTGCGGACAGTGCACATGATGCTATTATGTTCGGAGCACACTATAATATAGATGTAGAAAATGAATTTCCTTTACAATAAAATCGATCCAGTGTACGTTCCCAAATGTTCAGAAACTGATCAGAAAATGCATGCAGTCTAGTCCATTGCCGTCTTAAGGCCTAGGCCTAGTGGGCACTGGCCCAGGGCCCTGAGCTTGTAAAGGTTCCCACGTTTTTAGGAGACTCACTCGTATATGGCCATCATGCTTTACATGTTGTTAATGATTATTGAAACATTTTGACCATTGGATATAAAATATCGAATTTCCCCATGTTAACCCACGATATGTAATAGATATATTATTATATCAGCACCTTCCAAAATTAATATTTTAAATGCGAATCAAAGTTGGACAATTTTAAAACTTTTAAAGGGGAATATTCTATATTAAATAATTTATTCTATCTATCCGCCAAAAATGATAATTTATCATCCTCTGGAATTATTTATACTTGATTTCTGATATATTTTAAAACTATTATTGATTTTGAATGATTTTGTTATTAGCGTCAATAAATTGCATTCATCGAAGTTTACATTGATTGAATGTTTATTTCTATTTTACATTTTTATGCCTCTTGGTGAGTTGGTTGGGAGCAGGAACTGTTTGCTCCCCCCCCCCCCCCCCCCAATGTTTGAGGTATGTTGTGTTTCTAGGGGGCCCCAGTGCATTGCTGTGCCCAGGGCCTCCTATAGTGTTAAGACGGCCCCTGGTCTAGTCGTCCCTGGCCATACCAAAGGTAGCTCCCTTCTCACGATCTCACTGTACCGCGGACTTTACTACAACCATACAGGGTATGTACAGGGTATATACAGGGTATGTACAGGGTATGTACAGGGTATGTACAGGGTATGTACAGGGTATATCAAATTTTGTATCGCAGATTGATATACAATTTTATAAATTGTTAAAATTATGAAGTGTAGAAAGTCATTAAGAGCATAGAAAAAAAAAGTGTGGGGAAGGTTTAAACTAGTGTGGGAAAAGTTAATATCAGTGTGGGAAAGATTTATAAGGGTGTAAGAAGGGTTTCTAAAGCCTTAAAAGAGTTATAATTAATAAATTATATATAAGGTCACTATGTAACGTATTTTTGCCTTTCGACGGGCGGGGGGGGGGGGGGGGGGTTGTGGGGCGGCGGGGGGGGGGGGGGGGGGGGGTGGTTCTGGAGCCTAATCTCCGCAACAGACGAGGGACATTAAATATTGGCAAAGTACAAAATATCTAACGTGACAAGATTTTTAGAGCTAGATGGACGTGATCATAAACTGTATTGCAATACAAATCTTCTTAAATTTTATCAATAAATAGCATGGCTACTAGCATTATATTATTAAAAAAATCTTTTACTTGTCTTAGCATTTCCATAATGTATCACGCTACTCTTCTGAATATATTTCTTGACTTATTCCATGTTGTGATTTTTCAGTTCTGGGTAATTCTAAGACTGGCTTCTCATTGTCGTCAAATATTTGATATTAATAAAGAGATATTTGTTTTCTGCCTTCAAATATTTGATCTCTAAAAATGGGTATTTTTTACGTGCGATTTAAAAAAAATTGATCTCAACTTGAAAGTATTTCAAACTTCAATCAATCTAACTTTAAATCTCTTGCCCCCCCCCACTTATAAAGGATGTTGCCGCACTCCGCACTTAATGTGCCTTCTCGTCAATGTTGCCCCACTAAGTGTGCCCTTCTCGTCAATGTTGTCCCACTAAGTGTGTCCTTCTCGTCAATGTTGCCCCACTAAGTGTGCCCTTCTCGTCAATGTTGCCCCACTAAGTGTGCCCTTCTCGTCAATGATGCCCCACTAAATGTGCCCTTCTCGTCAATGTTGCCCCACTAAATGTGCCCTTCTCGTCAATGTTGCCCCACTAAATGTGCCCTTCTCGTCAATGTTTCCCCACTAAGTGCACCCTTCTCGTCAATGTTGCCCCACTAAATGTGCCCTGTTCGTCAATGTTGTCCCACTTAATGTGCCCTTCTCGTCAATGTTGCCCCACTAAATGTGCCCTTCTCGTCAATGTTGCCCCACTAAATGTGCCCTTCACGTCAATGCTGCCCCACTAAGTGTGCCCTTCTCGTCAATGCTGCCCCACTAAGTGTGCCCTTCTCGTCAATGTTGCCCGACTAAGTGCGCCCTTATCGTCAATGTTGCCCCACTAAGTGTGCCCTTCTTGTCAATGTTGCCCCACTAAATGTGCTCTTCTCGTTAATGTTGCCCCACTAAGTGTGCCCTTCTCGTCAATGTTGCCCCACTAAGTGTGCCCTTCTCGTCAATGTTGCCCCACTAAGTGTGCCCTTCTCGTCAATGTTGCCCCAATAAGTGTGCCCTTCTCGTCAATGTTTCCCCACTAAGTGCACCCTTCTCGTCAATGTTGCCCCACTAAATGTGCCCTGTTCGTCAATGTTATCCCACTTAATGTGCCCTTCTCGTCAATGTTGCCCCACTAAATGTGCCCTTCTCGTCAATGTTGCCCCACTAAATGTGCCCTTCTCGTCAATGCTGCCTCACTAAGTGTGCCCTTCTCGTCAATGTTGCCCCACTAAGTGTGCCCTTCTCGTCAATGTTGCCCCATTAAATGTGCCCTTCTCGTCAATGCTGCCCCACTAAGTGTGTCCTTCTCGTCAATGTTGCCCCACTAAATGTGCCCTTCACGTCAATGCTGCCCCACTAAGTGTGCCCTTTTGGTCAATGCTGCCCCACTAAGTGTGCCCTTCTCGTCAATGTTGCCCCACTAAGTGTGCCCTTCTCGTCAATGTTGCCCCACTAAGTGTGCCCTTCTCGTCAATGTTGCCCCACTAAGTGTGCCCTTCTCGTCAATGCTGCCCCACTAAGTGTGCCCTTCTCGTCAATGTTGCCCCACTAAGTGTGCCCTTCACGTCAATGCTGCCCCACTAAGTGTGCCCTTCTCGTCAATGCTGCCCCACTAAGTGTGCCCTTCTCGTCAATGTTGCCCGACTAAGTGCGCCCTTATCGTCAATGTTGCCCCACTAAGTGTGCCCTTCTTGTCAATGTTGCCCCACTAAATGTGCTCTTCTCGTTAATGTTGCCCCACTAAGTGTGCCCTTCTCGTCAATGTTGCCCCACTAAATGTGCCCTGTTCGTCAATGTTGTCCCACTTAATGTGCCCTTCTCGTCAATGTTGCCCCACTAAATGTGCCCTTCTCGTCAATGTTGCCCCACTAAATGTGCCCTTCTCGTCAATGCTGCCCCACTAAGTGTGCCCTTCTCGTCAATGTTGCCCCACTAAGTGTGCCCTTCTCGTCAATGTTGCCCCACTAAGTGTGCCCTTCTCGTCAATGTTGCCCCACTAAATGTGCCCTTCTCGTTAATTTTGCCCCACTAAGTGTGCCCTTCTCGTCAATGTTGCCCCACTAAATGTGCCCTTCTCGTAAATGTTGCCCCACTAAGTGTTCCCTTCTCTTCAATGTTGCCCCACTAAGTGTGCCCTTCTCGTCAATGTTGCCCCACTAAATGTGCCCTTTTCGTCAATGTTGCCCCACTTAATGTGCCCTTCTCGTCAATGTTACCCCACTAAGTGTGCATTCTCGTGAATTTTGCCCACACATTCAAAATCGTTCAATGTTATATTAAATAAATATTTAAAGATTTGTGAAAGTAATAATCTTATTATTAACTATTATATTTTGGCTTGATTATTACATATTATGTTGATTAATTCTGCTATTTGAACTATCTGTGACAAATAATGTTATATTGAAAATGATAGATTTTTACCTATTAAAAAATCAACATTCTTGACAGATTAGGAATCACTTATCTAAAAGGAAGAACAGCTGTAATGAAAGCTTAAGAGTCCCTGATCTGTAAGGAGAAACACCCCGAGTTACAGTTACAGGTTGGGAATCACTGAACTAGTAGGATAGCACCCCCTAAGTGACAGGTTGAGAATCGCCGATCCATAAGGGAGAACACCAGGCGTGAAATCATTTGTTTAGAAAATGTTCACGAGAGAGGAAAGCCATGCATTTCTAATGTGAGGCACGAGAGATAGCCAGTGAGCAAATCCCGAGCTCTGCACGTGCATGTGTTTGTATACATATGATACGGTTCGGGGACAAAACTGCACTCTTCTCTCCGGGGAGGTAAAAATGAACTGGAGGGCTGGCGAACCTACGGCAAAGCAAATAGTGGAGTAGAAAAGTCAATGGAACAAAACATGGTCGACACACTAAAAATTAGAATGGTAAATATATTGAGATGTAGTTGATAGTAATAATGTAATTAGAGGATAACTATTCTGACATTTAGCAGATAACGTGCATAAAATTAGTCAGTGGTCGCAGTACTATCAATTTTAAAGTGGACAAGATTGCGGACAGTGAAGTGCACATTTTTTGACATAATGGAGGTAGAGTAGGATAGAATGACCTATTGATGGTAGAGTAGAGTAGGATACAAAACCATATTGGAGGTATGTTAGGATAGAATGACACATTGGTGATAGAGCAGGATAGAATGACATATTGGAGGCATAGGATAGAATGACATATTGGAGGTAGAGCAGAGTAGGATACAATGACATATTGGAGGCATAAGATAAATGACATATTTGAGGTAGAGCAGAGTAGGATACAATGACATATTGGAGGCAAAGGATAGAATGGCCTATTGGAGGTAGAGCAGAGTAGGATACAATGACATGCTACCACAGGCTAGGAGTAAAGTTTTTGTGTGAAATTTGCTGTTTGACCATCGACTCGGCGCGTTGAACCCAGTTGACCGACCATCATTGGGAGATCTTAGACTCGGCTTTCTGTTGAGTGTTGAGCGACCATCATTGGGAGATCTTAGACTCGGCTGCCTGTTTCTCTGTTTCAAAAAATGACCACGTGGTTTATCTATGTCCTACGTCTGCCATCAGCGTCTGTTGCTTTAACAGTCAATGTAATCTCCACTCACTTTCGCTCCTCATTGTCTGGCACACTGTATGGCACGTATTGATCTAAGGCTAAATGACTCTAGCGCAGCGGTTCTCAACCTGTGGGTCGCGACCCATTTGGGGGGGGGGGGCGAACGACCCTTCCATAAGGGTCGCCTAAAACAATAGGAAAACACATTATTATGAAGAATAAATGAAAATAATTTTATGGTTGGTGGTAACCACAACATGAAGGAACTGTTTAAATTGGTCGCGGCATTAGGAAGGTTGAGAACCACTGCTCTAGCGAGACCTGGCAGATAGCTTGGGAAATTGAAAGACTAACAGCACGTACCTATGTAGCAGTATTCAAATGAGAGTACATGCAATTAAAGCTTCAATGAAATAATTACACAGGGGTCGCCTAAGACCATCGGAAAACAAATATTTATGAAGTAGCATGGAAAATATTTGTATGTTTGGGGGTAACCACAACATGAGGAACTGTTTGAAAGGGTCGAGGCATTAGGAAGGTTGAGAACCACTGGTTTAATGCATGGGGCAAAAGATCATTGGCTTGATGTCTGGGATAATTGTTTTTTTCCAGTTAACATTACAGTATAAATGAATAAAAGGCACCAGCCTTTAAAATATAGCAAACGTAGCATTAAAAATAGTTTATGTGGCTTTAAAATAATAATAAGATATCATGTTTTCGTATGAGCAATCAGCATTCCAAATAGTGTGTGACAAGTACTTAGGCCATCGTGAATGCGAGTGCAAACATGATTTTAAAAAAAACTGCTCATCACCTTGCGAAGGACGATAAGAAATGATAAGTGCCATTGTTAATGTCAACACAGTTCATGACGTCATCCAGACATCAGTCAGCAGGGCAACGGCTGACTACATTGTACGAGTGATCAGCCCATAAGATATATTTTGTCTGTTGTTTCCCTTGAACGTATTTCCTCATAACATCTTACTGATGAGAGATGTTGGCAGAATCGTCGTATGACTGCACTCGGCAATCTTTTAAGCTCTGTGTCGGCAGTGAAAGAGTTTAACACCAAAATCAGTCATGTTTTCTCCAGGTCTTTAATTCCATAATTATGCAGAGCCGTCTCGTGACCTTTGAGACCCATGTGACTATTCGATTTTTGTTATTGAGCGAATCAATACTTTCAAGTATTTTCTATCAATTTGTGCCCACATCACACACGGGGGTTCCCTTAAATATCCGAGGCCCTTGCAGCTTCAGGGGTTATAGGAGCCTCTCGACGGTTCTGTTAGTATCAGCGCTGTGAGCCCTATTTTGTTAAACGTTAATCATTTGTGAAACACCTTGTACATGATTTCAATGTATACATTGGGAGGTTCTTTATTGTTTTCAAACGTGGTCATCTTTAAAATGTGGCTCCTCATTTTGAGGCACGTTAGAAGTTGGAGGCCCTAGATGTTGGAGGCCCTAGATGTTGGAGGCCCTAGATGTTGGAGGCCCTAGATGTTGGAGGCCCTAGATGTTGGAGGAAATGTTTTTCGTTCAAACAATTTCCTCCGTGGGGGGGGGCATTTAAGATGCTAGGTTGGGTTGTGCCAGTGGGGTAGCAAGGCGGGCCGGAGGGGGACATTTTCAGACAACGCCAGAGTTTGTATTGTCAAGGAGAAAGAAAAAAAAATCTTCGATCACCCAGAATGGCACAGCACTAGCTACGCCACTAGGCGCCAAAATTGGGGACCAGGGCCACCTATCTGTAATGGGAAGTAGGGCAGAAATGTAGGGCGCCGATGGCCCCTGAGTGAAACGGGGTAGGGGTCTAAGCCCCTCCTCAGATAATTTTTAAAATTATTTCAAAACCCAGAGGTGCATTTTGGCAAATATCTGAATGCAATGTCTCTGTTAGACAACGTGACCGGGGGGAAAGGGTTATTCAAGCTTCCGGCATGGGGGCGGGAAGGGCATTTATCAGCATGGAAATTAGGCACCATGACGTCCAGTGCCACACACAAGCTTTACTCCGGTTGATGCTAACATCATTTCACAGCTTGAACGCATATGGAAAAAAAAAATTCAACTTACTTATGATAATGGCCTTTTCTTAATATTTCCAAATTTTGCCAGAGTCACAACGAAAAAAAAAAACAACGTTAATTTTAGAAAGGTTTACACATTTCAATTTTTAAAAAAATAAAAGTAATTTTTAATAATTCGGATAAGAATGTCAAAATTATGTTAAGAAAAGGTAAAACAACAGGCAACTAATATTTAAAGTGTGATTTGATACGCGGGAAATCGTATAAAAATAGAGTTTACATGTCTCAATATTTAATTGATTGAAATATTTATTTGGAATATTAAACTGTTATAACTTTCTTCCGATCAATTACAAATGAACTCTTTGGTGTACTTTTATCACATTTTTTTAACCGAATCCAACGAATTTATTATAAAATTGAAAATTTGAAAAAAATAATTCTTCTAAAACGAAATGCTAGTTGACAAAAGCATTGTTTTTAGTGTTATACTGGATTCTTATAAAGTAAAACATAATTTAAAACATAATTTAAAAAAAAGAAACATGCAAATAAATAGGTGAGGCCTATTGTTTATTATTCTACTTTTAAAAAGGGAAAAGGAGTTGGGAACTTTATATATATATATATATAGATATAGATATATATATATATATATATATATAGAGAGAGAGAGAGAGAGAGAGAGAGAGAGAGAGAGAGAGAGAGAGAGAGAGAGAGAGAGAGAGAGAGAGAGAGAGAGAGAGAGAGAGAGAGAGAGAGAGAGAGAGAAAGAGAGAGAGAGAGAGAGAGAGAGAAAGAGAGAGAGAGAGAGAGAGAGAGAGGCCTATATATAGATATAGACTATTTAAAAAAAAAAGACATCAGTTCTCCAGGAAACCTTGCCACAAAAGTAGGTCATTGAAATCGGAAGCGTTTGTATTTTTCTTAGCAACATTTGTTGGAACTTGCACTCTTTGTGTGCGCCGGTTAAATTCTGAATTTATGTTTTAAAAGTATCCATTTCTTAAAGTTGTCATTTTATTTAACTCGATACACCTTGAATGAAATACATTTAAAATTATGATATCAACAATATATCTAAACATGATACCACCATACAATTTATAATTAACACGCGACCCTACTTTAAAGCCTCAATCTTTGAGGGGAATTGTAAATGATAAAAAAAATTATTTAAGAAACATGTAACGGACAAAAAACTTTTTTGTTTAAATAGATTTCCGAGGACCAGAGCGCAGGGAGCATGCTAAAATGGCATGGATACCGGCGCGATATAAATATCAAATCAATCAATCAATCAAAAAAGAATCTGATATGTTTTTATATTTGATAACAACGTGTAAATGTTTCATACTTAAAAAGAACTATATCTAAATTATAGACCTTCATATTGATTTACAGGTATTATAGTTAATTACCATGTTATTAAGTCTTTCAATTTGTGACTTTGCAACAAAAATATTAATTTATTGAAGTATCAAAATATGCGAACAATAGTAAAAAGAAGATTCGGTTTATAATTAGGAGCGGCCAATTTGCGAAACAATACGATATTTATATAGGAATATTGTAAGCCTGTAATAAAATTAGCCTTAAATATGCGGATAATCAAATATATCGATCGTATCAATATTTCATTGGTTGCACAAATTGTAATCGGTGAAAGGCGCTTGTAACTATCCTTGTAAAAATGTTATTATAATACATTTTTAAAAATAAAATATATTTTCCTTTTTTGTTGTACAGATTTTTCTCCGGGGGTAAAAAAATGGAGGTTGGGGGAGGGGAGTGGGGGAAGGAGGGGAGTGGGGGAAGGAGGGGAGTGGGGGAAGGAGGGGAGTGGGGGGAGGGAGGGGAGGGGGGGAAGGAGGGGAGTGGGGGAAGGAGGGGAGGGGGGGAAGGAGGGGAGTGGGGGAAGGAGGGGAGTGGGGGAAGGAGGGGAGTGGGGGAAGGAGGGGAGTGGGGGAAGGAGGGGAGAAACGGAGTTCATTTCCCAAAAAAAACACTTGGTAGAGGCCCCTTATGTGTAGGAGACTCTAGCCTAAGCCTACTTAGCCTAAAGGGAAATTCGGCTTAAACCTAAAAATGAGGATTACAGTTATCAAGAAAATAAGCACCGAATCAATCAACGCTGACCACAATTGTTAATGTCTTCTTACTCAGACATCCATCCACTGGTGCAGCAAGACTCAAAGCAAAAACAAAGTTTGAAATGGAAATACAGAGCTTTGGGGAAAAAGGGTGGGGGAGGGTTTAAAAACTTAGAATAAAGTTGAGCTCAATTTACTTTTAGAATAATGGATTTTCCCCTCAATTTTTCTGTTTAATCCTAATTATTAATCATTTCCCACTCTTGCTTTCCTAATGTTGAAATTTGAAAAAAACAAATCAGAGTCAATTAATATCAAATGCAATATAAAACTCAACAGCAATGCATATATTACACCAGTGCGCAGAAACAAAACAAAAGAATATTTTTAAAACTATTCTACAATACACTTCAAATGTTTAACTCCCGATTGAGTGGAATGGCTAGAGTTTATGACCCCAAGGGTGGTCCTTAATTTTTTATGACCCCAAGGGTGGTCCTTAATTTTTTCACCCCTAGCTAACGAAAAACCCCGCTGCTTATAGAACACACACATAACATATACTCTATAAACCATATGAAGTGGATCGAAATTATTGTTCTGTGATAAACGCGGGCATGTCAAATGCGCACACGATAAACGCGCACATGTCAAACGCGCACATGTCAAACGCGCACACGATAAACGCGCACATGTCAAACGCGCACATGTCAAACGCGCACACGATAAACGCGCATATGTCAAACGCGCACACGATAAACGCGCACATGTCAAACGCGCACATGTCAAACGCGCACATGTCAAACGCGCACTCGATAAACGCGCTCAGAAAACTGCGCACATAAATTACTGAGCATAGAAATTACTGCGCACACCGACTGGTGCGCACTTAGGAAACCACGCACACCGCCAAATGCGCAGCCTACACCAAAGAAAACGCGCACAGAGACAATTGTGAACATTGACATTTGCGCACACAGACAATTCAGCACAATGATTTTTACAGCGCAAATGTAAAGAGAGGAAAAGTTTCAGTGTGTTATCAGCAAACAGGACAGTATGTCCACTATGAAAGGCAATAACTAAAAATTTTAAAGGCGAAGTAATTTGTTAAAAAGCGGATCATCTGATGTCCTACAGAGTTGAACTCATTTCATTGAAAGTTGAATACTATTTGGCAGGGAAGAAAATTAATTTGTTTGTTTCCCTCTCGAAATTGACAGTACTTCTCCTTTAAATGATATTACTGATAAAGAAAACTGTACACATTATCAGAGTTTAGAGACCGACACAGAAAATAATATTGAAACTTGACGTTACACATTTTTAGAGTCTAGAGACTAAACTACGTCCTAGGGAAGAATCGAAGTCCTACTACGCCTTAGTGAAACATCATAGTCCTACTATGTCCTAGTGACGTTTTTTCTTAGTTTCACTCCTAGGCCATATTTGACTTGGCTGTAATAAAATTTCAATAGTTTGCATTTTTCACTTTCTAGTACAAGACCATGTCAAACATTCTTTCACAAATTAAATGTTTGTTTGTTAAAGATTGTATTGTAAGATTTATTTGTTTTATTTCCGTTATGTTGTATTTTCAAGGGGCCGATTACAGCATAAATGTAATATTACTATTTTCATATATGTTAACATTACTAGGCTATCTATACTATTGTTAAATTTTACTCTTACATGTCGTATCAATCATAATGTGAACGATGCAGAGTTCGAGATTTCATCAAGTCCTACTTTCATCAAGTCCTACTTTCACCAAGTCCCCTTTTTATTAAGTCCTACTTTTTTTCCAGTCCTTCGTTTATCAAGTCCTATTTTAATTAAGAACTTCTGTTATCAAGTGCTACTTATTTTGGTCATACCTTTATCAAGTCCTATTTTTATATATGAACCAGCAACATGTAACACTAAAACTGACCATCAAAATGGTACACTTAAACTGACCATCAAAAGGCTATACACTTAAACTGACCATCAAAATGCTACACTTAAACTGACCATCAAAATGGTACACTTAAACTGACCATCGAATAGTAAGAATGAAACTGACCAGGTTAAGAGGGTGAATAAATCCAGCTGACGTCATACTTTCTTCGTGGTCAAGGATCTGTTTCAAGTGTGCGATGTAGCTAGAGGCTAGCCGTAACGTGTCCAGCTTGGACAGTTTGGTGTCTGGAGGGACCCATGGAAGGGTTGTCTGTGGACAACGGAATAAATCTCTGGTAACAATTATGGGAAACGGGATAAGATTTACGGTTATCCCGGGTTTCCGGTAAAAATCCCGGAATCAAATAAATTAAACATTGACCAACAACTGAAATTAACTATTAAAAAAAATTGTTTTTCTTATAATTGCTTAATATCTTTGTTGTCTATTATTGAATGAATAACGCTGTTCAGGCCAGGCGAGAGCTTGGTCACTTGCTACTATATTGTTTCTTCATTTCTCCCAGCGTAGTCCTAGCAATAGATACTTGGCTAATGATATATTTGTTAAGCTAAATTCGAATATGTCGGCGTTTATACCCCCCACTCCACCCACTCACAACTTTACAATTTATTTAAGTATTGTATTCTTGACATTCGAATTAGTTACAAGACATTTATTGTTTTGCTATATCTCAAGGGCGGGTTCGTTCCGAATTAAAAATTAGTAAAAAAAAATTGAAATAACTATATGCATAATAATATATTCTAATATATCCATGCTGATTTGTGAACTTAAAAATTATACATATTCTAAAGGTAGTTGGCCACATAAACTGTCTGTTAGAATCAAGTAAATAGAGCAAAGGTTCCCAACCTATTAACGTGACCTCAACTTAGGCTGTGGAGGGAATTCTGTCCATTCTCCGACAGAAACAGTAAACTGAGAGTAAAATTGTTTTGTAAACAATCGTAAAGTTTGTGTAGTACAATTTCATTCCTGGCATAACATATTACGTCATTCATTAAAACTACGTGATGCCGAGAGTTTAATTTAATTTATTTTTCCTGTAGGCCCTGCAGACATTAACTCAATTGAAAGGCCTATTAGCGGGATTAGAATATTTTTCTTGTCTTGGGGTATAGAGGCCATTTGTCACAATTTGTGACCATCTGGGACCATCTGTGATTATCTGTGGCTTGCTATACATTTTTTTTTTTAAAATCGTATTCTTAATGGTGTACCCGGGATTTCCCGGAAGGGAAGATTTCCGTGAAAATTTTTTATGAAATATTCTTGAGAAACATTAGTTTAAAGGGTAATACTTACAGTTTATTATATTGGACTTTAGGTTTACTTTTTTAATTACATGATATCATTTTAATATCAATGTAGTACTTTCATCACATAATGTATTTAAATATCTTTTTCAGTAACTTCATTATCGATATATTTAGTTTATCAAAGCTTTTTAAACATTTTTTAGGTCCTTGCTTCTGTTCCACTCTGTTTACAACCTACCAGTAATCTTACACGTTGTTTTACAACCTACCAGTAATTTTAAACGTCATTTTACAACCTACCAGTAATCTTAAACGTTATTTTACAACCTACCATTAATCTTACACTTTATTTTACAGCCTACCAGTAATCTTACACTTTATTTTACAACCTACCAGTAATCTTACACTTTATTTTACAACCTACCAGTAATCTTACACTTTATTTTAAAACCTAACAGTAATCTTACACTTTATTTTACAACCTTCCGGTAATATTACAATTTATTTAAAAACCTACCATTAATCTTACACTTTATTTTACAACCTTCCGGTAATATTACAATTTATTTAAAAACCTACCATTAATCTTACACTTTATTTTACAACCTTCCGGTAATATTACAATTTATTTAAAAACCTACCATTAATCTTACACTTTATTTTACAACCTTCCGGTAATATTACAATTTATTTAAAAACCTACCATTAATCTTACACTTTATTTTACAACCTACCAGTAATCTTACACTTTATTTTAAAACCTAACAGTAATCTTACACTTTATTTTACAACCTACTTTAATATGGAGGAAGCTTTTCTCGCACCTCTCATATGTTGCAATCTATCAACCTGACCATTTACCTGGAGAAAACTTTGTTGAGAACTCTGATATATTACAACCTACCAACCTACCTTTAATTATAGAGAAAGCTTTGCTAAGAGCTCTCATATATTACAACCTACCAACCTACCTTTAACCTGGAGAAAGCTTTGCTGAGAACTCTCATCCTGGATCTCTCTCTAGCATTTGCTGCATTCCTCTGTTGAGGTTTGTGAATTTTCCCCTCAGCCAAATCTCTCTCCATCTCCTCTTTTCTCTTCCTTGGCATCCTTTCTTTGGCTCACAGTAAAATAAGTGATCAATTTGATTCAACTTGATTCACATTCAACGAAACCTTGGCTCACTTCCAAGAGTTGCAGAGAAGGATGGCGTTTATTGTACCGTCACAGATTTGTCTTGACCAGGTCTGTTAGTGACTAACGATCTCAGAGTCAGGGTCTGTTAATGACTGCTAAATCATTTGCACCATGTCCATGACACACTTTATCAGCAAATCACCGCCAGTCAACATCCTCACCCTGATGTAACACAATGTCCACTTGGTTGTTGTTCGTACATTTTAATTCCGTTATTTAGATGACCACTTGATGGTAAACATTTTAATGTCTGGGGATCAAAATAAATAGAATTTAGCTGTGAAGAGAAAAAATCGTAAATATTCGATAAGTTGGACAACATCAGAGTAAAATCGATTTTATAGTCATTTTAAGGACCTGGTGCTTCATACAGCTTATGAAATACACGTTAGAGAGTATTTATTATATACTTTTGAATAATGCAAACATATACAAGTTCCTTTAACGAAGATTATATTTTTAAATTTTATTTTTCGCTCTAAGGGGCACCTTTGAACTTTAGTTTAGTCAAGACAAATTTACTAGGTTGTAGATTTAGGATATATTTAAAAGCCGTTTAAGTTGCACCACTAAAGCCGTACGTTCTCAGATAGTCAATAGACAATAGAGCCAAAACATCTGTCTTCTAGTGCGTAAGTTTTGCACACATTTCTTGTTTCCACACCTTTGATTTGTTGCAATCATACAACGGCTCATGTTTCCAAACAACTTCTTCAATTTCTACACCATAAACACAACAATGAATCTAGGAACGTTGCATACGATCACGTTCTCCACTCAAGCGAAGTTAAAAAAAAAACAAAAAAACAGCAACAACCAAACAGCAATTTGCAATATAAACAGATGTTCCGCTCTATCGCACTGGTGTCATGGAGACGTTTGTTTTCCTTCAGTTGCCAGCAATGGGGAAATGATCGCTGTGTTTGTTTACATTCGAGTTACACTTTTGAAAGCTCTGCATCCTTGGAGTAATGCTCAATGCAACGTGATCAAGTATATGCGTCTGTACTTGAATGGATGATGGAAATGTAAAGAAAAAGTCTCGTCAAAGTATGAAGATTTATCGGCAGGATTGAAATGAATACTGATTGACGCCATGGAGGTCAAGGTTGTAGGAAGAGCACGGTGGGAAATAGTTCACCATTGTTAAGGAGGCGCCCCCACCCCCCCCCCCATTATGATGGGGTAAGCTTAAATATACTACTCTCTAGTGTCTGTTTACAAGCACCCTATTCTTGAATTAACGCCTACGCCATAGAAAACATTCAAATAAAACTAAACACAGAATTAGCAATTTAAGTTGACCACACCATTGAAATGTGAAATTGTTTTGTATTTAAATTAACGACAGGAGATACATTTCTTCCGTCTTCACAACACAAAGTTATTAAATTTATCTTATTTTTCACCTAAGTTGGGGGTCAAAGTCACGTGGATAGTTTTCTCGTACCACAGGCGCTATGTGGGTATAAGGCGTCGATTGGAAGTTATAATCAGAAGGACACAAAATGATTAGTAATCATGGATCACTACTCAAGGAACGAGTGGTGTCAATGAAACTTTGCTCAGTTTAAAAACTTAGAAAGCCTACCAATAACAGATATTGGGCGAAATGTCAATTTGAACGCGGACCATTAGGATTACCCCTTGACAAATACTTGAATGGATTGCATGGCAACATATGATTCCGTGCCATGTGCACAAAATACTGGATATAAAAAGAATCTAAATCCTTTAAAAACCATACTAAATTGTGTACTTTACTGACTCACTCATACCCCTCCGTTTTTCAAATTATTGTCCTTCATTGTCCCCCTCTTTTCCCTTCATTAAATGCTTTATTGTCCCTTATTGTCCCTTTTATTTCCCTTAATTGTGCATATTATTGCCCTAAATTGTGCCTATTATTGCCCTAAATTGGGCATATTATTGCCCTAAATTGTGCTTATTATTGCCCTAAATTGTGCATATTATTGCCCTAAATTGTGCATATTATTGCCCTAAATTGTGCATATTATTGCCCTAAATTGTGCATATTATTGCCCTAAATTGTGCATATTATTGCCCTAAATTGTGCATATTATTGCCCTAAAATGTGCATATTATTGCCCTAAATTGTGCCTATTATTGCCCTAAATTGTGCATATTATTGCCCTAAATTGTGCATATTATTGCCCTTAATTGTGCCTATTATTGCCCTTAATTGTGCCTATTATTGCCCTTCGATGTCCATATTATTGCCCTTTGTTTTTCCCCAAGTACCTCGTATCGCCACGATGATGGACCACATCCACCAATACATATATATATTTGGGCACAAATTGTAGCTGATATTGAAGTGGATGTCTGAGCCTATGGAACTACACACTGTCTTACAGCACCCTCTGTTTCTAGTCTACCCTCTGTTTCTAGTCTACCCTCTGTTTCTAGTCTACCCTCTGTTTCTAGTCTACCCTCTGTTTCTAGTCTACCCGAATTCTATATAAAATAGTAGCATTGAGAAAGAATTACTTCAGTGAAAATTCAAATGTTCGTTCTGAAAAGTTCTCTGTGTACGTTTTGATCTTTAGTTCCACACATGGCATCTTTCAGTCTTTGTGAGATGTTGGCGGCGCCATTGATACTTCATTACACGGATGGCAGTAGTACAATGCGCCGATCCTGGAATGGCAGTCTGGACTGGACAGCACTTCTCTCAGGAGAACCTTGACTCCTGGTTAAATTTACCATCTCGTAATCCCCCTACCCCCCCCCCTTTTTTTTTTCAATGGACTCTAAATCATAAACATTGAGCTCACATTTTATGAATCTGTAGATTTGGTGAGAGTGTAAGTGCATCAAAGACAACGTAAACTAACTTATGACCATGACATGATCATTCAATGAAACCTAATTAGGACATTAATGTTCCATGAGCCAAACTTTGAAGTCATCATTGAATGAAGCGATAGTGTCCTTAACCCTTACGGTGACGTAATAAAACGTGTACTCTTCCCCGATTAAGAACCATAGACTGTAGGAAACATAGAACATTTGGATCGCTAGGACTTCTCTAACTCAACACTAACCTTTTTACAGATGTCGAAAACATAGTGACACTCGAATCTCTAGGACTTACCTCATGCTGTCTTTTCTTTGTACAAAGGTCTGAGACATAGTGATACTCGAATCTCTAGGACTTAACTCATGCTGTTTTATTTTTATACATACGTCTGAGACATAGTGATACTCGAATCTCTAGGACTTAACTCATGCTGTCTTATTTTTATACATACGTCTGAGACATAGTGATACTCGAATCTCTAGGACTTAACTCATGCTGTCTTATTTTTATACATACGTCTGAGACATAGTGACACTCGAATCTCTAGGACTTACCTCATACTGTCTTATCTTTGTACAGATGACTAACATATAGTGATACTTGAATCTATGACTTCTCTAAGTCAACACTTACCTTTGTCAGATATCTTACACACAGTGATATAGGAATTATCTAAGTCAGCTGTTATCTCTGTACGGATGTCCTCCAGTCTTTCAATCCAGCTATCCACATCCACTATCCAGACCTTCCACTGTGGGCATATCACATCCTACTGCGCCAGCGGGAGTCGGCGATACTGCTGGTATCACGAGGAATTAACTCTGTCAGGCCACCCCTGGGAAGAGATGGCAGAGTTATCTGGCCCTTGTAGCATTATCTCGCACCCCCGCGCTGTATGCTGGGGTAATTTGTCCCCCCTTACCTTCAGGGCCGTGTTCCCTGTACGCGTCGAATTCTTCGGAGCTGAGGGCGCCACCCTAACCGCCCCCACCTTTAACACCCGCTATCTCAGATGTAGACAAATTAAAGTGGCGTTTGGCCCCTCCCACATTCTGTCTGACTGTCTCAATCTCTACTTATCGCGACAAGAATGCTCCACCCCCTGACCATACTATGTCAGTGTCATGGACTGCCTCCTCCCCCCACCCTTACAAGACTTCTTGTCTCACATCTCACTGACATAGGCGGGCACCAAGCATACGTCACATCATGTTTGTCTCAATCAAAGTATGAGCATCTTTTCATTTCTTTCGATAAAGTACTAATCTGTGTTACATAGTTGCAAGTACTACTACTCTATCTATGTTACATAGTTGCAAGTAATCATTTATGTTACATAGTTGCAAGTACTAACCTATCTTACATAGTTGCAAGTACTAATCTATGTTACATAGTTGCAAGTACTAATCTAGGTCCCATAGTTGCAAGTACTAACCTATGTTACATAGTTGCAAGTACTAATCTGTGTTACATAGTTGCAAGTACTAATCTATTTCACATAGTTGCAAGTACTAATCTACGTTACATAGTTGCAAGTACTAATCTAACTTACATAGTTACAAGTACTAATCTATGTTACATAGTTGCAAGTACTAATCTACGTTACATAGTTGCAAGTACTAATCTACGTTACATAGTTGCAAGTTCTAATCTACGTTACATAGTTGCAAGTATTAACCTATGTTACATAGTTGCAAGTACTAATCTATTTCACATAGTTACAAGTACTAATCTATGTTACATAGTTGCAAGTATTAACCTATGTTACATAGTTACAAGTACTAATCTATGTCACATAGTTACAAGTACTAATCTATGTTACATAGTTACAAGTACTAATCTATGTTACATAGTTGCAAGTACTAATCCATGTTACATAGTTGCAAGTAATAATCTATATTACATAGTTACAAGTACTTATCTATGTTGAGAGTTACAAGTACTAATCGATGTTACATAACAGAATCATAGAAACATAGTTACAAGTACTAATCTATGTTACATAGTTACAAGTACTAATCTATGTTACATAGTTGCAAGTACTTATCTATGTTAATAGTTACAAGTACTAATATGAGTCACGTAATTTGTAGTGAACCATGCCCATGATAAACTCATGATGTCATGTTGGGTTCCTCGAGCTTGGTATTTCAAGGGCTTTTCAAGGGTATTTCATGGTTAGTTCAAGGTTATCTCAAGGTTAGTGTCAAGGTTATTTCAAGGTTAATTCGAGGGTATTGAAACCAGTATCAGAGTAAACTTTATTTAGCACAAAGATGGAATAAAACATTCATACTATTATGTACAATTCAAATTTATCCATTAAATAAAATAAAAGTACTACATAGCTACTCTATGTATAAGGCAGTTTAGAACATATTATGTCATACATATTTTGTTTGTTGGGTTCCGTCAGGCTCTTCCAGATTTAAGTTAAAACTTTTAAGAAAGCTTTAATATTAACTGCACGAAAAGAACAAGACCACTTACAGAACTAGGGGAACTTACAGAACTAGGGCCACTAACAGAACTAGGGGAACTTACAGAACTAGGGCCACTTACAGAACTAGGGGAACTTACAGAACTAGGACCACTTATAGAACTAGGGGAACTTACAGAACTAGGGGAACTTACAGAACTAGGACCACTTACAGAACTAGGGGGGCTTACAGAACTAGGGGAACTAACAGAACTAGGGGAACTTACAGAACTAGGGCCACTTACAATAGGGGAACTTACAGAACTAGGGCCACTTACAGAACTAGGGCCACTTACAGAACTAGAGGGACTTACAGAACTAGGGGAACTAACAGAACTAGGGGAACTTACAGCACTAGGGGAACTTACAGAACTAGGGGAACTTACAGAACTAGGGCCACTTACAGAACTAGGGCCACTTACAGAACTAGCGGGACTTACAGAACTAGGGGAACTTACAGAACTAGGGGAACTTACAGAACTAGGGGAACTTACAGAACTAGGGGAACTTACAGAACTAGGGCCACTTACAGAACTAGGGGAACTTACAGAACTAGGGGAACTTACAGAACTAGGGGAACTTACAGAACTAGGGCCACTAACAGAACTAGGGCCACTTACAGAACTAGGGGAACTTACAGAACTAGGGGAACTTACAGAAATAGCGCCACTTACAGAACTAGCGCCACTTACAGAACTAGCGCCACTCACAGAACTAGCGCCACTTACAGAACTAGCGCCACTTGCAGAACTAGCGCCACTTACAGAACTAGGGACACTTACAGAAATAGGGCCACTTACAGAACTAGCGCCACTTACAGAACTAGGGGAACTTACAGAACTAGAGGAACTTACAGAACTAGGGGAACTTACAGAACTAGGGCAACTTACAGAAATAGCGCCACTTACAGAACTAGGGGAACTTACAGAACTAGGGCCACTTACAGAACTAGGGGAACTTACAGAACTAGGACCACTTACAGAACTATGGGAACTTACAGAACAAGGGGAACTTACAGAACTAGGGCCACTTACACATCTAGGGGGGCTTACAGAACTAGGGGAACTAACAGAACTAGGGGAACTTACAGAACTAGGGCCACTTACAGAACTAGGGGAACTTACAGAACTAGGGCCACTTACAGAACTAGGGCCACTTACAGAACTAGGGGGACTTACATAACTAGGGGAACTAACAGAACTAGGGGAACTTACAGAACTAGGGGAACTTACAGAACTAGGGCAACTTACAGAAATAGCGCCACTTACAGAACTAGCGCCACTTACAGAACTAGGGGAACTTACAGAACTAGGGGAACTTGCAGAACTAGGGGAACTTACAGAACTAGGGCAACTTACAGAAATAGCACCACTTACAGAACTAGGGCCACTTACAGAACTAGGGGAACTTACAGAACTAGGGGAACTTACAGAACTAGCGCTACTTTCAGAACTAGGGCCACTTACAGAACTAGGGCAACTTACAGAAATAGCGCCACTTACAGAACTAGCGCCACTTACAGAACTAGCGCCACTCACATAGCTAGCGCCACTTACAGAAATAGTGCCCCTTACATAAGTAGTGTCACTCACACAACTAGTGCCCATTACATAAGTAGTGCCACTCACACAACTAGTGCCACTCACACAACTAGTGCCACACACATACCTAGCGCCACTTCAATGTGTCTTCTGACAAACCCTTTCAATGTGTCACATTGCAAGCCGCTACAAGTTATGAGTTATGTGAACTTGCAACAAATAGCACAATCAAGTTATGATTTTGATCATCCACCCGATCGTGGTGGGTGGCATTGCATAACAGCAGACTGTCGGATCTTGACGTGGACGAGATGGTCAGATCAGGGGGTGAGGGTGCCTGGAACGTGTCTCACATTGAACCCTTGGATACAAATTTGATGCAGGTATCGTTTGGTGGTACGTAGCGCAGGCGTAATCAGTCCTGACGTGGATGAAACGAAACTCATGTCGCACCTCCACGGGCTTTTCTCCCCCTTGCCCATCGCCATGTTGAACTCCTGGCTAATCTCCGTGGACAAGAAGCCCCCCCCCCCCCC